CCAAAAAAAACTCAGTGTGTGGTGCTGTTATAACATGCCTGTCATTACCTAACAGAAACCTGAGAAACATTCTGCAATGCAAAAGTCCTGCAGGCACGAGTATCTGTATAGCACCAGATTATCCGTGATCAGAGGCTCTCCTTATTGCTACTGACACTAACTGTTACCAGCTGGCTTCACACTTGGGCACTTTTCTACTTAAAAAAACTATCTAGAACACTTAAGACCTAGAAGGGCTTGACAGAGCCGTGGTATTCTCACCTCTGTGACCGGTGGAGGTGCATGTACCGGTGTTTACATGCTGTAATTGGTTGTAAGCACGCACTGTAAGGCAATATGTGGGGTTGTGTGGTGTAACGGCAGAGCGCTCGGCTCAGAACCAAGAGGTCCCAGGTTCGAATCCTGCCAAGTCACCAACCTTGTGCCCTTGGGAAAGGCACTTTACGCTACTTTCCTCACTTTGTTGCTCAATTGAAAATGAATATGCCAGAATGATCATTATCATGATCGTGGGCATTAAAGGAAAACCAAACCAATATGGTCCTTACCTCTAGAACACCCTTCCGCTACAGCAACGACAGCTCCTTAGTCTCAGGACTTTCAAACAGATCATTAGGAGCAGGACTTGATTTAGTTGATGTTAGGATGTTGTATTTAGTACTTGTTTAATATGTACTGTGTATTTGTTGTGTGTATTCTCATGTGTATCCAGGATTACCTGAAAAGCAGGCCCAAATGGCCTGAGCTGTAATTACTGGTTAAATAAATAAACCGAATTGAATTGAATATCTGGTGGCAGGCACTTAACTTGAGACTGCAGCTGTTGTATAATATCAGTTGAACTTGAGCTTGACTTTGGCCTGTTTGTGCAGCCCTGCAGTGAACCTGAACCCCACCATGATGTGGAGAGGGGCCACCAGTGCCAGGAAGCCACACAGAGCAGAAGTAACACCTCCTTCACCAAGAGTATGGAAGGTTAGTTAACGTTTAATGTAGGGTTTTGGCGCTACCCTGTGTTAGACCACACCGACTTAATTAGGATGGTTTGTTCAAATCCACGCGAAGGCCACCGTGTCAACCCTCCTCACTCAGGTGTAGGGACTGGCACGGTCGTCATACTTGGAAAAATCTGTATCTGTATATCTGTACATGAATCTGTGTCTGTGCATGAATATGCATCTGTACATGAATACTAGTATGTAACGTTATCTGATTGCATATAAAGATCTGGAGTGATTGCCACAGGAAGGTTAGTTAACGTTCATGTAGGGTTTGGCACTACCCTGTGTTACACAATCTCTCACTGCCTGAGGGGTGATTGAGCCTCCTTACTGAGGGCCTGACCAGTTGAAGGGCAACTAGAACGAAAGAGTAGAATCATGATGTAGTCAGGCTATGTTTGGCATGGCCATTTGAAGTACATGTACTGCAAATCTTTAAACGTTTGCATTGTTTTTATTTTTGCAGTTTTATGGCATAGCAAATTGTGTTTCAATTGTATGACTACTGTACTACAGACTTGCTTTAATGTGGAATCACATTGGAAGAGAATTAGAGTTTCTTATTGCATGTTTTCTTGTTTCTAGATCTGCCAAGCATTTGTTAAAAAAATAGCCGGTTGATTTGAAAATCAGCCTTAGGCGGAAGTGATAAAGTTTTGGATAGTTCTTTTTTTTTAAATCAATCTGTTGTTCTGTGCCAGGTCCTGAGGCCTGTGAGTTGTGGTGCCAGGTGGGCGGGATCTACAACTTCTTCGGCAGCGTTGCAGATGGTACGAGCTGCGGCAATGGCAGGAACGGGGACGTGTGTGTAGGAGGGGCCTGCAAGGTATGCTTTGCTTACATACAATTTCATTTTGCAGAATAGAGTTCAGGAATTTGTCTGCATTTAATTTGTTGGGCTCCTAGATATTGTTGGGTTTGTAATTTTGTCAGCAACATTTCTATCTAGGAACACTACGTGTACTTTAAAGATAGTATTTTAGACTTTTCAATCTGGATTTAAAACACTACCTCGCTGTTACTACCCTGGATGACTAATCTTCACAAATGTACTACATGTACTTGTACTTGCCAGAAATTATGACCTGATGGAGTCCACCAAATAGAACAAAAAACGTGCATATTTTTGTCCTGCTGCCCCATGTAAATATTAGGAATCAGAAATTATTTCAATGCATACAACACTATACTATAGATGTTGTTTTCACACAAACTTATAACTGTTTGTTTACTTCTTCCCAGCCGGTAGGATGTGACGGGAAGTTTGGTTCCTCTGCCAGTTACGACCAGTGTGGGGTGTGTAATGGTGACGGGTCAACCTGCAAGGTGGTGGAGGAAACTTACAAGGGAATGGTCAACAGCAGAGGTAGGACTGGGTTTAACTGCCTCATATACATGTACACCCAATAGTTAGCCTCCGTAGCAGGCTTATAGAACTGGGGGTTTGGTGGTCTTCGGCTGTTTTCTGATCAGCCCAGTTCTAAACGGGTAATTCAACCAGGCCGGCTATGTTGTCTATATGCAATCAGAAAATAGCACATAAAAGCTCCCAAAGACTCTGAAGACCCCCCAAACCCCCAATTTTTGGCATGCTATGGAGGCTACCCCTTAATAGCATTTTTGGAACATCTCTGATAATTACCACAAAATTATGTAGATCTATATGAAATGATGCCTAACTTTACATCACTGAACCAACAGAACATCAAGCAGAGCAAGGGTCCACACAATTTTTTCCTTCCGTAAACTGCTGACTGCAACTGTTACAACTGTCTCTGACATTTATAATAACTAGAGCATCTGAAAACCAAGTTGCCCCGTTTCTTTTGTCAGTTTGTAAAAGTTTGTCGTATTTTCTCCTACAGGGGTTATCACCATGGCAACCATCCCCAAGGGTTCCTACGACATCAGAATCAGCACCTCTGAAATCCTCCGTCAGATGCCCCTATTCATCGGTGAGTTTTCTTCTTATATGCAAATAAAACAGTTTAACTTGCTTTGTGTCAGAAAAAAAATGTTGTAAACCCTTCTCTTTGAATAAAGATTTAAGCTGTGGCATGTCACAAAAACATGTGAATCAAGTTTTTGGAAAAAAAATTACACAATGAAACAAAACTTTACTGTGTCATTGTTACATCATTCTTATTCTTCTTCAATTCTGATTAGCCCTACAACGTAGGATTATTGGCAGCCGTTACGCAATGTTAGTAACAAATGTGAGCCGAGTTTGTTTACTATAGTTCTTTCTTTTGTTAAAACTCTTCAAGGATCTCTACAATGTCTTGTTCCTTTTCCCCCCACAGTTCTTAAGAATGAGGCAGGAGACATGAAGGTGATCAGAACAGGTCGTCACTACTTCATGTTTGCTGGAGCCTCCTGGAAGGCGGAGAGGTTCAGCAACCGTCTGCACTCCTTCCAAACTAAAGGCAAACTCACAGAGGATCTAACAGTGCAGGTATAAAAACACTCAACATTCAAATTCTTTCTTCTTCAACTGTAAATCTCCTAAAAGTGTGTAAATCTCTTTAAAGAAGTGTTCCAACTATGCAACATGTATGTATGTATACCTTTGTAAGAAATACGCAATTCAGCCTTGCCGTTGCGATGTATTTTAGAGAAATAAACCATTCTACAGTAAACCATCTGTACATTGTAGTACTACTACTTAAATCCTTTATTTCTACAGGGTTTAAGGCTTACTCTGCATTATAAGACAAGCCTTGGCATTTATTGTATTATTACTAACATGAAGCATCTTATAAATTTCAGATTGCGTCCACCTGGACACCCAGTACTGGTGGTCAAGAGAAGGAAGTGCTCTACCGCTATCACCTTCCCGTCTTTGGTAGAAGTAAGCAGATTTCTTTCTCTGCAGAAAAGTCGTGCTTGAAAAATTGTCTGAGAGTCAGGTTTGATCATAATTTCATGGAAGATTTTATGGTAGCATTCTGGTATAACTAGTTGGAATTCCCCTTTGATTAAAGACCACAGTAAATCTACATACATTAATTTTTTGTTTCATTAGAAAGTATGAAGATTCAAGCTGTCATTATCTACATTGTACATCTCTACATACGAGCTAATATTTCTTCCTTCCGTCCCCACAGCTGTAGATGGAGGATGGAGTGAGCCTGAGTGGTCAGAATGCTCCAGAACATGTGGTACGGGGATTCGCACTGGGAAGAGACTCTGCAACAGTCCTCCGTAAGTCCATTCCCATCTACATGTACATGTACCTTAGGCCACACCAATTTAATTTGTTGGTTCTCGGATTCGCCTCTTCGTTTTTTTCTGATTTGCAAAAAAAAAAAATTTGATTCTGGTCCTGAATCAACTGAAAAATGCTCATGTTTTGCCCCTCAACAGTTGAGGAAAGTCCTTTTCTTCCTAGTTGTCACAGTTTTCCCATCTATCATTGCAATGGTTTGATTAAAAGTTCAAAATTCAATGTTTAAATTTTAACCCAGCCTTTTGTGTTGACTTCATGGCTCATTTTGTAGCATTTAAGACTATAATAGGATGCCTAGACCTGTTTTTATTTTTATTTTTTTTCGCCCTGTCGCTTCATATTTTTTCTGAAAAAATCCGAGAACCAACAAATTAAATTGGTGTGGCCTTATCTGCAGAAATTTTTTCCTCGAAAGATTTGTCGTTAAACTTTAACATCTATGCTACCCGTTGAAGCACACCATAACTTTTTTCTAATTCTATTGTTTTAAATGTCTAACGCACAGACTGCAGGAAGACTAGCTACATACTTGACTTTTGTACTTGTATGTTTGCTAATGGAGGAAATAAAGCACCTAGAAAGCTTTAAGCAACTCCTGCAATAAAATGTGCAAAGATTGAGTGTAACAAGTCGTTCAATGTGATATAGCTAGCTGCCGCCTTGCCGCGTGCCTGTGAAGCTGGTGTGTTACGCCAAATGGCGGTTATACCGGCTATACTGATACAGATACCTAAAGCACCTAAAATTTATTATGGTGTACTTGTGTTCCAGGCCTGCCAATGGTGGTCGAAAATGCCAAGGGGATTCTACCTTGCTGGAGTTGTGTGAGACCAAGGTTAGTTTTACACTCCATGATCATATCAAAATCATGATATCGAAAGTAGCATAATTATGTTTAAATCTCTTGTACAGTGCATTAGTGTTTACTCAGTAACCATTTCTTCCAAGTATTGAGTATTGAGTAATCTTAGTCTTTTGCTATCATGAAAGTTCATCTATGTTGGTAGTTACATGTTTAGAGACTTAAGATCCAACACAAAAAGTTCTCTCACCTAGAGCTTTCAACCAGTCTCTCTGGTCTTGCTCAGTAGACTGACCCAGTGAGGCTTGTCACGTGGCTTCTCTGAAGTGTGACTCTTGTATCAGTGTTTACTCAGTAACCATTTCTTCCAAGTATTGTTGAGTAATCTTAGTCTTTTATTTTCCCCCCAGTGCACAGAGCCAGTTCCACACATTGATGTAGAGCTAGGCAGTGTTTGTAAGGCTGCGGGATACTCTGAGGTCTCATCATTACGTGGATACACTGGTAAGCTCTCTGGCCTTCTTGCATATTGTTTATAGTACAATGTTTTGTACATTGCCTTTTTGCCTGCGTCATATTTGCTCGTTACAAAGCTGTCTTGTTGTTGTTGTTGTCTACTCACAACAATCCCTGTGGATTGGTTGTGGGGTCATGTAGTGTAACTGCAGTGTGCTCGACTCGGAACCAAGAGGTCCCGGGTTTGAGTGTCCTGACATGTCACCGATCTTGTGCCCTTGGGAAAGGCACTTAACACAACTTTCCTCAGTTAACTCAAGTGAAAATGAGTATTGTCCTGTCTTGTATTTGTGCTCTGTGTTGCTGGCGGCATAAAATAAGTCGACATAACTTGAGTGTAACGTCACCATGTCTAGTTATAAAATGTTGGAAAAAAGCAAAACAATCCCTGTGCCTTGGCCAAAAACAAACAAGTTAACATCCTTACCATCCGTGTACATTGTAGGGGATGATGCTTGCCGTCTGTGGTGCCAACATCAGAACGGTGCCTGGGCCTACCACGGACCCGTGCCTGATGGAGTGTCATGCAGCAACAAGGACAGCAGCATCTGTGTGAAAGGGTCCTGCAAGGTGAGAACTAATTCTAAGTAAATGCACTATCAGAAACAAACAACACAGATCACAATAAAAAGATAAGAAAATTGGTAGAGAAGCAAAATCCCTAATGAAGTGTGATGCAGCACCAAGGACAGCAGCATCTGTGTTAAAGGCTCCTGCAAGGTGAGAAATGTGCGGTATTCTAAGTACATGTACATGTAGTATCACATACAAACAGCACAGATCACAAGAAAACATCTATGCAGGAGAGAATTCGTAAACAAAATCCCTAATGAAGTGTGATCAAGGACAGCAATATCTGTGTTAAAGGGTCCTGCAAGGTGAGAATTTGTTTCATGTGAACAGCACTGAATACAACACAAACATATATGCATGAGAAAATTCCTAGAGAAAACAAAATCCCTAATGGAGTGCGATTCAGCACCAAGGACAGCAGCTGTGTTGATGGGTCCTGTTAGTTTTTTCTAAGTACACGTACTATCACAGACAAACAACACAGATCACAATAAAAAAATCTATGCAGGGGAAAATTCCTAGAGAAATAGTGAGTGTCATTCAGCACCAAGGACAGCTGTAGCTGTGTTGAGGGGTCCTGTAAGGTTACGCTAAGTACATGTACTATGACATACAAACAGCACAGATCACAATAGAAAACATAAAAAAACATCTATGCAGGGGAAAATTCCTGGAGAAACAAAATCCCTAATGGAGTGTAATTCAGCACCAAGGACAGCAGCACCTCTGTTGAAGGGTCCTATAATGTGAGAAGTTCATTGTAATTCTAAGTACTGTCACTTGCAAACAACACAGATTACAATAGAAACATAAATGCAGGAGAAAATGCCTAGACAAATAATATCCCTATTGGAGTGCCATTCAGCACCAAGGACAGAAATATATATGTGTGTGTTGAAGGCCGGGTCCTGTGAGAAGTTATTTCAAATACTGTCACCTGCAAACAACACAGATCAAAATAAAAACATACATGCAGGACAAAATACCTAAAACAAATAATTTTCCTGTTGTACTGCCATTCAGCACCAAGGACAGAAATATATATATATATATATATATATATATATGTGTGTTGAAAGGGGTCCCTGTGAGAAGTTATTTCAAGTACTGTCACTAGCAAACAGCTTTGATTACAACACAAACATATGTGCAGGAAGAAGAAGGGAGAGTTATTCAGTACCAAGGACAGTGACAGCTGTCAATCTATTCTTGTTTACAGCTCTTGCAGTTCTTGATGTGACTTTTTGAAATATTTTTTTTTCCAGCAAGTGGGCTGTGACGGTGAGTTTGGGTCCCCTGCTGAGTTCGATGCCTGCGGGGTGTGTAACGGTGACGGGTCTACATGCTCAGTCATCCAGGGAACTTTCACAGGAAACAACCATGGTGAGAGAGGGGGGTTAAAATCATCTTTATTCCATACAAGATGAATGACATATTAAATACATAGCTAAAAACCTAGGACAATCCTTTGTCTCATGTTTAGGTAACAAGAGGAGGACGCAAGGTGGACAGACAAAAATACAATATACTAGTCACTGTGTGCATCGGACATACAGACGTTCTCAATTAAAAATTGCCATATATAATTATGATTACGGGTACATTATATAACAATTACAATTTAGAGTTCTTAAAAAAGACAGCAGCTAAATTTTACATCTAATTATTTACAGTAGAACAATCCTGAAGTGCATTCCCAAGCAGGCGTGTTTCTGGCACAATAGATTGCATAAGATGCACAAAGTGCACACTTTCCCAGTCTACTTTTAAGATGTCTGACTTCACGGTCTTTGTGACTGACCGGAGATCAGTATCTTCTTTATCATTATAAATCACAATTCAGCGAATGTACAATAGACAGGGGGAACACCATGTGCATTTTCCCTGAATTTAAAGAATTATTTGTCACATAATCCAAGACAATTATATACACTATAGATACAGATTCCGAGATAACACCATATAGCAGACAAATTCTATGAGAAAAGAGATGTACTTACACTGTTGCATGCTCTAAGTGAGCATTACAAAGAATTCTTTTGCACATGCATTGTAGTTGGAAGCTAAGTTTTGTGCCTCTTGATAGTGAAACAAACTTGCTGTCACTCAGCATCTTTAATTTAGCCAGTGCAAACTGGACACATGATAGTGTTACAATGAGACTCTTAGATTGGTATGAATTGCACAATTTACTCTCTATACTCTCTATTGAATTACAAGTATGATGCTGCTGCATTGTCATCTTAAGAAAAACATGTATCTTAAAGGATAATTGAAACATTGAAAGATGCCAGGTGATATGTTTTCCCTTGATGAAACAAACAAACAAACAAACAAACAAGAGAAGGTGTCTTACCTGTTCTTATGTCCACCTGTTGACAGGTACCTCCACTGTCGTCACCCTGCCTGAGTCTGCCTATGACATCACCATCTCATCTGCAGTCCCTCTGGGGGAGATGTCTCGCAATCTTGTCGGTAAGACTTTACTGAAGCAATCTTGTACAGTATTTAGTACAATGTATCTTAGCCAAGTTTCATTTGCTTTCACATATATGTTGGTTGCTTGTTTCATTTCCCATTTGTTTCATAAATTTGTGAACAGAAACATAACATTTTTTCTTTTTCTGGGGAAAGAAGACCATAAATTTCCATGGGGAAGAAAATAGACCAGCTTTTGGAGAAATTCCTTTCAAACATCAGATAACCAACATGTGAATCAAAAACTGAGAAAAATGTATGCTGCAATAGCAAAGGACTCCACTTTTCAAGTTCTTTCCAGTGTTGAAATTTTTTTAATCATATGATAATTGTAGGTCTCGAAGCTGATGGAGAGAGACCCTTACGGCCCAATGCTGGACTGTTCTACTTCTTCTATGGGGGTGCAGGCTGGAAAACCACACAGTACAACAACCTCAAACTCCTGTTTGAGGCAAAGGGGCCTCTGACAAAGCCTGTGGAAGTCACTGTAAGCAAGAGATTTTCTTGGATTACTGTATTTTTGTTTTGTGACAAAGCATAAACTTGTGTATTTTCTAACTTAATGGAGTGTGGTTTGTTTTTAACAAAGGACATTATACATTTCTTCACAGATGGTCCACTACACAGGAATTTCCATGGATAATAAGGGCATCACCTACAAGTTCAATGTGTTAAAAGGTAATTCTTTCCTTCAAAATGTAGATTGCTATCGGGTATCTTGGGCACAATAGTTAGGTAGGATTTTTACTGGGTTTGGTATGCTTCGATTATCCATTGAAACTGCTATTGCCAAGAAAAAGCCAACAAGTTCAATGTGTTAAAAGGTAATTCCTTCCTTCAAAATGTAGATTGCTATACATGTACAAGGTATCATGGTTTAGGTATGCTTTGATTATCTATTAAAACTGCTAACCAAGATGTTACTGCTACCTACTCCATGGGCCTTACTTGACAAATTATTTTTTTATTTATTTATCTTTTGTCTCCAATTTTCTATATACGTTTGTTATGTGTCTGTTATATCTTGACCTGTACCTAGCCCGTCGTGGCATGAATGTACAATAAAGGTATTTCATTTCATTTTATTTATTCCATCTGCAGGAAAAGAGGGTCACATCCAGAGGAAATCACAGAGACAAACAACTAAAACGAAAAGTGAGCCCAGCCCGACTACACAGCCCACAGAGTTGTATGTTTGGGTCACTGAAGAAGGAGAATGTTCCAAAGACTGTGCTGGAGGTACGAAAAACTCATCATCTTGTTTTGAAAAAACTTAAAGGGAAAGATTTTTTTAAAAGAAAACCAGTACTGTCAAACTTGTACTGGCTCTGCACAAGGACCACCTGTCCATTGTAGTCCCTTAAAAATTTAGCCCAATTGACACAATCTGATCCATTCATTGCACACATAAAAACATTGTACATAACATTGTATAACATAGGGACTTCTGTGCAGGGGTGTTTTCCCTGGGTTTTTGTCTTTAGTTGCCTCCTGTCTGATTGCCTTCAAGTCTATAGAATAGAAAGAGCTAAACTTAAGATATATTTGCTTTTATTGTTGCAGGTACGAAAGCAGTGACGCTGTTCTGCCAGAGAAGTGACACGGGTTACGTGGTGGGGAATCAGTACTGCCAGCACCTGCCCAAGCCTCACGAAGAGCGAAGAATACCCTGTAACCTGGACCCCTGTCCTGTCAGGTGAGAATTCTGCTCTGCTTGTGGTAACTATACATGTACATGTACCTGTAAAGCCTGTACAACTGACCACTTGTACATAGCCTCCTGTGCAGGCTCCGGGGCGGGTGGGAACTTTGATACAGTGTTTTGAAGAGTTTTTAACATGTTCTTTTAATAGCCATGGTGGGCAGAAAGGAACCTTCTCTTGTGGCTGGTTGCAGAATAGCCGGCTATTAAAAGAACACGTTAAAAACTCTTCTAAACGCTGTATCAAAATTCCCACCCACCTCGTATCCTGCACAGGAAGCTAACTTGTACATATGGATCACCTTGCCAATGTGACCACTGTCTAGTGGGCCCCTGGATAATTTTTTGGACGCAAGAATTAAAAATCCTGTCTACAGTGGCTGCCTGTCTACAAAGTCTGGTGTGTTGTGCAGAAGGGCAATTATACCAGCTATACGGATAGATACATAGACCAGATTTTATTGGTCCCCTGAGTGGTCTTCTTGGGAGAGGTTCCACTGTACATGTACATGTAGAATGTATTTGGGTGTCTCAAACATGAAACAACCTTGTATGATCTCAACCTTAAATACTTGGAAGTGTTGAGAAATTTCTTCAATGCTGGCCATGAAATAATCTTGCATATAACCTTAGAAAGTAATAATTTTGACCCCTAATAGTTTCAAGAAAATGACATTGCACATATTTCTTCAATCTTGTTTGATCTTAGCCTTTTCAACCTCACATTCTTATGCCCACCATTTAGCATTCTCGCTATCTCCACATGGAATTACACAGAGGTGAATGAAGTATTGCTAAAAATAGCCCAGGCTTTAACTGTAACGTTATACATTCCCCTCCAATTCGACATTGAGACAACCTTCAGCAACTTCAAAACAATGTCAAAACTTAGTGATGTTCTATTTCTTAAGACATTGAGACGACCTTCAACAAATTCTGAACAATGTCAAGGATCTTCTTGCCTAGAATTTCTTCATTGGCCTTAGATATCCCTGCTATCAGATACCAAATGGATCCATCATTTAGCCAGGGAGATTACCAAGTTGTTGAATCCTGTGATCAACAGAATGTCATGATGACTTCTTTTTATGAAAAAATAAACCGGTAAACTTTCCTTCCAACACTGGAATGAATTGGGACTTACCCCAAATTTTCCACTGACTCCTTCAGCCTTGTTCATAGAATGGGCCCATTTACTCTTGGAACTTTCATGCTACTTTCATGCTATGATGACTTCGTCTTGTTTCTCGATGGATAGGAAAGTTGTTTGGGGTCAAAAGGCTGGAAGGAAGTGACAGTGGACTATGTACAAGAAGTTCACAATTAATAATGAATAAAACACAAAGTTCAACTCTTAGTACTTCACAGATGTGTAAAATCTTTGATTTTTCTCATTTCCAGATGGAGAGTGGGGACGTGGGGCGAGTGCTCGAGAACGTGTGGGGAGGGGGTGATGGTGAGGTCGTTGACCTGCACCAGGGAGGTGCGGGAAGGCACGTGGGAGGATCTGGATCAGACCTACTGCGATCACGTCACCAGACCCACAGACAGATACGAGTGCAATATCGAAGACTGTGGTGAGTAGAATGATACTTAAAACAAACCAAAGTGTGATTTTGAGTTTTTGAGTTGGGGTTAACCTTTAGCGTAGGGACAGCACTACAGTGTACATTGTGTATATGCTGGAACCCTCCTGCTACCAAACACTAGTTACCATGGTGACAGACATCTGGTTCAGGTCATTGACCTTATTTCTTTGGAAAAGAAGAAACAGAGACAAAACAAATGTTTTTCTTCGATAAACATTATCAATTATGGACTGACACAAACTTGACATCTAATTTTGAAATGCATATTGTAAATTGAAAATTAGTTTGGTTTTGTACTACTATTGTTGTATTACTGCCACACATTGTGCCATGTACATGTACGATTCTCAAGCAAGAAAGTTCATTCATTCAATATCGATTTTCCAGTGGACAGTAAGAAGCAGAAGGCGAAGACTGTCAGCCCCCGTCTCAGCTACTGGATGCGAGCCTTGCAGAAGCTGAGATCGACATCAACATCATCATGATACGTCATCACGCAACTACCTCATTGTCTCCTACTCCACATGCAAATTTCTGTCTTGCTTGGGGTAACGTTTCATGTATACCTGACTGTATGTTTTTTGTTTGTTTTTGTTATCTTTTATACAACCTACAAGTTGTGTATGTTGAATGAAGAGCAGAGAGATACTAAGGAATTTTATATCCTCTTTACTGTGAACACTGCCTGGGAGGAGTGAAAAGGCGGGAGGATTTTAAAAAATATTCTAAAACTTTGGTGAATCCTTCTGTATATTGCAAGTGCGCTGGAATAATGTATAAAATTCACCACCAAAACTCCACCATGTCATTTCAGGCAGAATTTTAGCTTGCGAAACTTTTAACAACCAATGCTGATCCATTACAATGGAGATATGCTAAAGCTGATGTACAGACCGGTATATTTACAAGCATTCGTACGATGAGAGAAAGAATGCTAGTTTAGTATATGCTAACAGGTGCTACTGCTGGTGCTTGATTCTAGATCCATTGTAAAATTTACAATGACTGTAGATTGCTGTGTACTCCTTGTTTCGTGGAATCATATGTGTAAGGCACAAGCTGTTTCAACAGTGTATTTTGTAGCTTGTCGGCAGAACGTACTGCACCTGCGCGAAACCCGTACTGTATTGTACATAACTGTCATGGCACTTCGGCAGAACGTCTCATATTAGGTCGTATTTGCGCATATAAGGGTAACATCCCGTCTGTAGCTTCCAAATGTTGTGTCGGAAAAGATATCTTCTGCAACAGTCAAAATTCTGATGCAAAGTTGACCAAAAATCCAACAAAAAACGTGAAAAATTGGGGTTTTGCGCAGGCGCAGTACGTTCTGCCGACATGCTGTTTTTTTGGTTACATTCAGCGGTTTATAAACACTGTCTCATAGTATTGTTTATAACTAACTGTCTTGATTAGATCAAGAAATATGCAGCTATCAAAGATTTCAACAGCAAGCTCCAATCTGGTTATATATATATTAAGTATATGGGAAATCTTGGGTATCCGTTTTAGCAATTTTTAAAAAAAGTGAATATGATTCACAGCTGAAAGAGCTCTTGGGAACAAAGTTATATAATCTGTAAAGACAGCTTTAAAGAAATCAAAATATTCCATAAATTCCACAAAATTCATTTCTTAAGGCATTTGTTAATGTACAGCTGGAATAATGACTTTTTTTTTAAGGAAACAAAATATTGAACGGTAAATGGTGCCAAATGGCATTGAATTTATATTTGTTACTTGGGAATTTAGAGTGTGAAAACTTAATCATTTCTTGGACAGGAAACCTGTTTGAATCTTATAACAATGAGATCATGTTTGATGTACATTACATTTTGTGAGCATTCAAAACATCAACTGTATCACTGCAAAGGAAAGGAAATACAATGGTATGATGTAGGTGAAGGTGTGGAAGGGGTTTCTGGTAGCCCATACAATTTTGGTGCCAAAAGTCTACATGTGTACCTTCACAGGCTGAAGGTTACAAGTTCATAGCAGCATTTTGGCTGTGGTAAAACCACACATTGTCCATTTTTTTGAACTTCATAATACTGAAGATCAACTTTGCAGATAGCAATTTCTGCCCCTTCCACACCCTCATAGTGGTTTGACCTAACGACAAGATGATCTGGAAAAAATTCCGGACTTCTGAGTGATTGTAGCCAATCAGAGCAGTCGCTACTAACTCTTAGCCTGGGCGCCAGACCCATAGCACACTGGACACAAAGTATCTCAACCATAGCAGAGGTGTAAAATTGCTTCCTGCTGTTCCACCAATGGGGCCTTACCCTCAAATACGTTCGACTGGCAGGTCTATCTGACCCTACCAGACCCGTGCTCACTGAGATACTTTGTGTCCAGTGTGCAATGGGTCTGGCACCCAGGCTACTAACTCTAGACTCAAAACGAGAGATGCCTTCTTCTGTATAAGGCATCATTTCTTACATAACTGAGCGAATCTAAACCTGCCTAACGAACTCCCCTCTCCTAATTAAGGCCACAGCAAGTAATTTTTATGGATGACATCAGCGCGCACATTAATTTTCGCCTGATTTTGGAAAAAAAACAAGAAATTTTGTTGCCCTCTGGCAGTGGTCAACATGCCGAAAATGGGCAAAGATGTCTGTTGCCATGCCGGAACGTGGATGGCAGATAAATATGAAGAGAGGAGACAAGAAAGGGCTCTGATTTAATGTTTTGTTTCTTACTTTGATGCAGTGATACGTGATGTTGGCTGTGTATATGTGATGTTCCCACTGAATCAAAATTTGAGAATAGTAGGAACCTTGTTTTTTCGGCCCGCGTTTTTTTCTTCGCACGCTCGCAGTAGATTTGGAGTCTGCGGAGGATGTCATCCATGAAATTTACTTGCTGTGGCCTAAGGGATACGCCAAATATGGTAAACAATATCCCTGATGTTGCTACTGATTGGGCTCTTCCCCTTGGAATTATTTTTTTGAATGGAATGGTATTTATATATGGACTGTTACTATTGTACATAGTCATATTTTTCTATGAGAATAAAATCGTCGAAGTAGGGGCGTGGCACCTACGGACTGGAGATTTTATATGTTGTTGCATTGGTAGGTTGTTGCTAAGTTATTTACCCCGAACTGTATTCTGTCATTTTTTGTAGTTACCTCTTATTTATTACAATGTCCATGGACCTAGCCAAGCTCTGTTACACAGGGAAGAAGCCTTGTATAAATTGTGGGTGTTGTTGAGTGTTTCTGTGTACAGTGAGTGAAATAGAAATGCCCATAACATGACACTGTTACTTGTAATATATCATTAATAAAACATCAAAACAAATGACTTTCTTGTGTGTCTTTTTAATCAATGAGATCTTCAAGTTGTTTTAGTTTGACTTCTTAATGTTAGGTGTTAAAAGGAGAGCCATGCATTAAGACGGCATTTAAAAACCCACCACACTTATCAATACATTGCAAGAATAGTGGTCCATCCTGGAGTGAATATAGCTTAATATGCTTAACGTCAAAATGCCGTTAAGGCAGTTTACCAGTTTATATAAATTAAATACAAACTAGAGTTCCACAATCTCATACCTTCGCAAAATAATGTTAATCTTTACGACTGACAAATAGTAGTTTATTCCCCGATTATGCAAATAGAATCCTCATTTGCATGAATTATCAGTTGAATACCATTGTAGCATTTCCAGATAAATTATGCAAATGAGGTCCTTATATGAATACTGGAAGTTATGTTTAATGATGTTCACCTTCACTTAACTTTCGAATACCATACGATGAAATTCCAGGCACTTACCATTGTTGAATAATTATTGTAACATTTTCTCATTAAATATGCAAGTTAAGTATTACACACAGACAGACACACATATGAACGCCTGTGAAAACATAACCTTGGGGAAGGTAAATAAAGTACTTAGATTTCACCCCAAAGCTGTACTGACAGAGCCTCCTGGCAGTTTGATTGTGAACTGCAGCATTGAGAAGTGGCTGGTACAAAATGTACAGTACTAACTTAGTTTCTCTTAATCTATGAATATTTTCCAAAAATGACAAGAGCACACCATATTTTAAAGAAATTATTTATCTTTATTGTATTGATATATTGTAAATGTACATATTAAGTTGTTCAAGTAGCATGCAAGGTTTCTCTGGTTCCTGTTATTCATAATGAATACACTACAATAATGATTCATATAGAAAAAGAACATACAAAAATACTTTTGTTGTTGATAACGAACTTCTAGACACTGATTGTTCCATTTTGATACTATTATTGATTTTAATTTCATTGGATTCTAAATACATTTTTCTAACGGTCAGGTCCTATGGACCTATTACATTATTACGTCACAGTTTGTTTACCTGGTCTAAAGAACATTCTAGAACGGTCAGTTAAAGAATAAAGATAATTTCAAAGTCAGGTGTGTTTGATTTTTGCCGCGTCTAGTTTGTTTGACACAGCATTACATGCCGTAATGGGTGATTTAGTCGTGACAGTAGACCAAAGTAGTATCAACTTAAGGCCTTATATCAAGGCTAGCGCTACAGAAACACACACACCGCGCTACGCACCCCTGTACAATATGAACATCGATTGGACACAGTCCCGACATTCATTACAGTAAACAAACTGCGACGTAATAACGTAATAGGTTCATTGAGACATGAAAGACCTTGCAATATAATCCTTCTATTCTCTGTATGAAGGCACAATATGATGTTATACACACAAGGACATCTAAGTTCAAATTGTAGCTACACGATTGAAATGGTGGAAAGTACCCCATAGTAGTACTTGCTGTAGCTATATCATATCATCTACATATGTCTGAATATTAAAACAACAAAAATATAGAAGTTTAAGATTAAAAAGTGTCACAGTCACTGTTATCATGACTTTTGTAGTTCATGGACAAACGAACATTCTTGATATCAATTTCTAAACTGTATCCTTGAAGGGAGCCCACCCACTAAAGACTGCCTGCAGTACATGTATGTCTACATCTAAACAAAGTACAATGTAGCTAAGCACAAGTGTCAATTGGCATCATCTCTATGATCTTAATATATAATGTTGAATGGTGCCATATCATATTTGATATATCTTGCAATGATTATCATGCATTAAATTATGATAAAAAAATTCTTAACATATTAAAGTGGCATGCAAATGAGGTATGATGGCATGAGAAAAATGACTTTGAGGAACAACTTTTTATGTAAAGACTGTGCTTTGTACAACCACCAGGAACATTATTCTGAGACCCTGTTTCAGCTACAGAAATTATACGTTACTCCTAAAGGCCACATTAATTCTGTATATGTTGGATCAAAGTTTACCACAGTGGTATTCAACCATGCCACATTTGAAGCGGACATGTAAGGTGTATAAGAGTAAATTTGCTTTATCGCAAACGATTTTGTGTCTTTTTTTATTGAGTGAATTAGTGGTATCAATCAATATGGCCTAATTACGAAGTATTCTGCTGTTGTAATTGCCATGTAATCACCATGACTGACTATTTGGCACTGATCCCAGTATGGACCGTTTTGTGCTTGACTACTCTTCAATAGGCAATTCTTACTTATGAACCAGGATCTCTCAATACCTTTGTTCATAACGTTTCCACATTTCCACAAAAATATCTTAAACGCACACCATGTAGTGTAATACCTTAACATTACTGTAACTTAAATATAGGGGGTAATATTTTATATTTTAAGTTTAAGTGTAACGTTGTACATTTATACAATGTGACAGCTACATTGTATGTATAGTACATGTAGTATAGTGGAAGACATTTTAAAAATGAAAACCTGTTCGGTGCCCCTTTTCAATAACATACATGTGTCCAGCTCCAGGTAGCACTGATCAATGGTTTTCCTACTATGCAAAATAATTGATAATTTATTCCTATCAGTAACACATTACGTTCTGAGATTTAAAATCTATGTGAATTTATCATTTATGTCCACATATGCTCATTCTGAAGAAACTTTTGACTAGTAAATGAATACACTTGACAGCTCCTTTGGGTCAAGAAACAATGTAACTACCCCCTCGTCAGACACTTTGCTGCAAAAGTAAGTGGTAAAAGTTCACCTGGAGTGGATATCGAGAAACCCAGTCATATTTTGATGCAGCAAGTCTTTGTTTACTGCATTCCCATAATATCCATTATTGCCATTGTCTTACTGCAACACAAAGTACTGTTCTTACTTCCATTGAAAAGAAATTCAAGCCTTGGTAGCAAGTTAGAACCCTTTCTGCTAACCCTACGAACCTCCAAATCATTCATTACTTCATCCTGTATGCTTTATACTCTTCCAATCACTTCCAAGTCATTCTAGGACCAAACTGGCTTCCCACAAAACAAGGCTGCAGGGACATGTGAAACAGCTAGGGGGCGTGCATAATTAGCACACACTGGGACCACTACATACACCACAGATTGTCTATGAAACAAATACTGCAGTCAAGAAATGTTTAAAATGCAAGATACACCTTGTGATTGTTCAAGCTGAATAAAACTATCTTTTACAAGTGAGGATATATTATTACATATATTATGTAGATTTCTGTGTGCCTTCCTTGTAATATTTTCTTCCGGAATATGTTCTTCTGGATGTACAGCATAATATAGAATCTGGTTCTTACTACGTGGTAAAGACTAGTCCTGTACTAGCCTAGAAAGGTCTGTTTTGATATATTACTGTCTATAGTGGTGAATTTTGATACAACCTTATGAAGAGTCTTGTACCTATTTCAGGTGGGAAAATATGTAATACCACATCGGGTGAAAACTGTCCTGTTACCTTTTTGCTATCTTTGCTACATGGAGCAGGAAGCCAGATAGTACATTGTATATTGCTTATGATGAATTTTTCTTTTTTATTACATGTGGACTTGTGTTCAATTTACAGAAATCTCTGTGTATATGACTGTGTTCTGTCTACTGCTAAAACTATGTAAAATATGGAGAGTGCACAGAACTGAGCTACATTGTACATCTACATGTACAAGTGAGAACTTTGTAGGGTACAAGGGAGAACTTTGTAGAGTCCAATTTAACCTTTTTTCAGCTGCCAAACCCTATAAGCAATACATATTTTGCAGCAACCTTAGCAGACAGCAAAAGAGCATCCCAGAAATTCTCTGTCAGTGATGGCCCAGCACCAAAAATAGATGTCTCCATATGACCCTCTAACAGAAATTTTTGAACCAAGACACCAGGGAGAATTTTTCGCCACATTCTTTACAATGCTTCCTTCCTTCCCAATGTCCGTCCAGGGATGCCTGTGTAACTCTTTTCCAAGTTTCCAGCACTTCAAGAACCAATATTATAGACCTTTGCCATTACATCCTTTATCAGACAACAAAACACACCCATGTTTTATGTACATGTATGTACCATGGTAGGATAGCTGCAGTATTTCAGAAACTAAGTTGGTGTAGAGTTAGTGTACCACCAATTTCCCCATCCAGGCTCCTGTGTTTTCCAGTATTTTGGAAGAAATGGTGCTGAGCTATATATATGGGTGTTGGTACATGTACCCGTCCTAACCCCCCAAACCAGCCTCCTGTGTTCTACAATGCTTTGGAAGAGTTGGTATTAAGCTTTGGGTGTTCTAGTGGTTTTGTAAGAGTTATGGTGGTGGTTTGCCTCCCCTTTCCCCAGTTCAACCTCCTATACAAGTGTTCTCCTGTGTTGTACAGTGTTTTGTAAGAGTTATGGTTGAGCCACAGGTGTTGGTTTACCTCCCCCTTCCCCAGTCAGTCCAAGTGCCTAGTGTTCTCTCACATTCTACGGTGTTTTGGAAGAGTTATGGATGTTGGATTGCCTTCTCCTTCTCCTGAATCCTTTTCCTTGTGACCAAGAGACTTTGGGAAGAGCTGTGAATGCTCTAGAGAGTTTAGGAATAGTTGTGCATGTTCTAGGCTGTTTTGGAAGAGTTGTGGTTGAGTTGTGGATGTTGGTAAGCCTCCTCTCCCCACTCCAGGTTGGCTTGGGACATATTTTGAACCAGCAAGTTTTCCTCCCCCCTTAAACTCACACTCCTGGTGCCCTCCTGTGTTCTAGAGTGTCTTGGAAGAGTTGTGGTTGAGTTGCGGATGCTGGTAAGCCTCCTCTCCCCACTCCAAGTTGGCCTGGGACATGTTCTGGGCCAGCGGGTTGCGACTGATGACCAGTTCGATCTTGTCGCCTGAAGCTGCGATGAGCGGGACAGCAAGGCAGCAGTCGAAGTCCCTGGTCCTGCTGTTGTTTACCTGCAGGTCAATGGAGATGCATATAGGAAAATGAAGCCATTCAAAGTCAAAATGTTTTTATGTCAAATGCTGTAAGCATCTCCAGTTCTATCTGTGGTGAATGCATGTGGGGAGGGTGGTGCATGGAGCAATTTTAGTCAAACAAAACTATCATCCAGCAGTCAAGGCAAACTGGCTGGTTTCTCCATGATTTCTCATTAGTTATCATCAATGATCAACATGATCAAAAATAACATGGTCACCATGGGCCGGTATTGGGCCTTGAGCGGGCCCAACTCAGGGCGGTCGCGTTGGCCAGGTGGTCACCTTGGACAGGTTGCTTAATGCTTGTGTCAATGGGGAACATTTTTGGGACCGAGAAAAAGCGGTCACCATGGACAGGTGGCCTGCTTGACAGGTTTGACTGTACCCACTGTACAAAACTGGTATGTTATGCCTAGAGGCAGTTCACTGGTTATGTAAAACAAACAAACAAACAAACCAACAAACCTGCAGTATCCTGTCATATGGCCTGATGACGCCGCTGAGGTCTGCCGGCCCGCCTGGCCTGATGTTGTTGATATACACTCCCTTCTCCACCAAACCGTCCGACACGCTGAAGCCAAAATCTCCATAATCATCATCCTTGAACAACGTCACCTGAAGAGAAAGGACAGACATAAAACTTAAAAGTTAATCATTCCTCAACGACTTTGACATTCTGAGCTTCTCAATGCTGTAAACTTCAATGTAGAATTTTTGATAAATATACCCCTATATATTTCTATGTCATCAAATTTCCAATCATTATCATTAAACTTATCTCTATTCTATAACAGCTACCTGAAAAAGTATGTCATAAACTATTCTATGGTAAATGTACTCCTAGACACAATTGTACAATGTATGTTTTCAGTCAATACAATTTCATCAAATTTCTTGTCACTATTATGAAACTTAAGACAATTTCTTTAAACACCTACATACTGAAAAAGTACAACATAGACTATTCAAAAAGGGATGTACTCATATATTTTCAGTCAATGTAATTTCACCAAATTTTTTGTGATTATCATGAAATTTAAAACAACTCTTTCACTACCTGAAAACCAATAGAAATGCTTAATTCATGAATCGTTGATGTCATTGATTGTCGTACCTTCTGAATCTCAATAGGTGTAGGAGAGAAGATGAGACTCATCTGATCCTGAATCTTCTTGTTGGTGGGGAGGGCGGGGGCCTGATGACCCCTGCCGGAACCCGGCAAGGTCATGCTGTGACTGTCGCTGTAGCTGATGACCGACTGGTTTTGCCTGGGTCGGCAGTTCAGCGTGTGTGCATGGTTACTGGGTCCGATCGTCTGCTCGATCTGTCGCATCAGTTCAGAGTGGCCACATGTCTCCAGGTCCTCGAGTGCCTAATATGAAAAAATTTGTATCAAAGTGAACACTATTTCTCAACACTTGTAACATCCGTGTCCATAATATCACCAGGGTCCATAATATCGCCACCTTGAGAAATAGTGTGCTTTAAGATATTTTTACTGCAACATACTTTTGGTATGTACTCCTGCACACCTCAAATGTACATACATTTGTACCTATGGTATGTTGCAGTAAAAATATCTTTAAGCACACTATTTCTAAAGGTGGCGATATTATGGACACGGATGTTAGCACGTACGGTGTAAAAATGTGCATGTAAATGGGATAAAGGTCTGATAAAGGCATTAAAACTGCATTGTATAGAACTTACATGTAAGGACTACAGAGTAAGAAGCATAGAGAAGGCAAAAGATCCAAGATTATTTACATGCAACAGTAACACATGTTGTTCACAGAAAATAATAATTGTATGACCAAAACATAACAGTTTTAGCCCCACAAAGTTAATGGCATCACACAACAAGTGGTTCTGCATGTACATGTAAGGCAACACCAATTTAATTTGTTGGTTCTCAGATTTTTTCAGAAAAAAATATGCAGTGGCAGGGCGCACTAGTTTGGGGGTCTTCAGAGGATGTCATCCATAAAATTAAGTCGGCGTGGCCTAAATCAGAAAAAAATGAAGAGGAGAATCCGAGAACCAACAAATTAAATTGGTGTGGCCTAATCCACACACACAAGTCAAACAGCACATCCAACAACAGACATTAAACTAAAGTTTAGTAGTAAACAAGAGGAATGTACCTGTACCAAACCATACTCGTCCAGTTGTGGATTGTCCAGAATGTCGCTGCTGCTCTTGTAGCTGTGGGACTGGGTGTCCCACTCATCGTGCAGTCTGTCCCCCATCCTCCTGTCTCCCTTGGTAGAGTCCCTCCTCTGGGTGTGCCTTTCTGTCATGTGATTGGTCTGGTTGTCATGATGGTGCACCTGGGCGGTCACAACCATTCCTGAATGGGGGTGCTGCGAGTTTCCTTCCGGGTTTCCTAAACACACAAGGGCAAAATGAATGGGACAAGTTTAAACTTTGAAACATTGGCCTATCTTTGAGGTATCATAAAATTAATAGTGAAGACCTTTAACATAGCGTTAATACTGAGCAAGGAGACTCTTTTTACACAACCAAGACAGTCTTTTATTCAGCTGACGTTTCGTTGTGCTGCAATACAACGCGAACCAGTCAGAATTGCCATGAGGAAGGTGACAGACGGTCACCGAAATGTCGGCTGTGAATAAAAGACTTGGTTGTGTAAAAAGAGTCTCTTTACTCAGTGTCTTACCAACCTGTTAGGTTAGAAACTATTCACAGATGGAATAATCATTATTATTGACACTAATGAAACTACATACAATGTAGAAGTATATAACCCATGAGACAGGGAATAATCGATGAGTGCATTGAAAGAGCATCATACAAAAAAGAATTATACCCTTGAAACATTATTTACTGTTACAGTAGATGTTAACTAAGTGTCATTAATTATGCCTTACCTGGTTCCAAGGCTGAACCATCCCATGATTCCACTGCACTATCCACACTAGGGACTGGGGTATGTTGAAGGGGCACCCTCTTCGTCTGGCTCTCTTCCTTTCCAATGCTGTCATTCTGCAAACACAGCAGGTGCATTATAAGAAAAAAAGGCTAAACGTTCTGTCCAACACTATAAGTAAATTAGGACTTACCCAAATTTAGTGTTGGACAGAACGTTTAGCCTTTTTGTCATAATGAAGTATACCAGCATGAACTTCTTCATGCTAACAGCAGGTGCATATTATTCATGACAGGTATGTACGTTTCAATTATTATAGATAGCTACATGTATTGCATAGATACGACATCTCATTCAGTGTGATATAACCAACCACTATCACGTACATTTTACTTGTGCAGCTGGTGTACACCAAATGTCCAAATTTAATCCATTTCAGAACTATCCAGTTACTTCAATAAACTACCAATGTATGAGGAGGAAACTTATTCATACATGTAACAATTTCTTACATTTGGCCTGCACAGTCTTCACTCTAATCTTAACTGTACCTATATGTATTTTCTGAAGCATTCTCAGTGACATATTCTTACCTCCTGATCTGACTTGGGTCCATCTACCACAAACTTATCTGGAATGGAAAATGAGACCATTGTTTACTGTAGAAAAAATTATACAATGTACATTACATTGCACACAAAATGTTGTTGCACATCCTTTAGACAGATCCCGACATCACATTAGGAATCACTAAGTCAGAACCTTGCATTTCCCGTTAAATGCCTACATGTAACTACACAGAAGCATTCCTACACAATTTAGTTAAATCACCAACACATTGGTAGCAATATTACCATGGCCATTAAAAGAATGATGCAATTGAAATTAGTAGTTCAGACAACCATGAAGGCAAAGGTTTCCTCCCACTTTCATTCAGACTTTTGCTCTCTACTGTGGTACATGATACAGCACTCTCATAAATAAACATTAATCAGAGAATGTACAGTCAAACCTGTCCAAGCCGGCCACCCAGGGGACCAAAGTAAAGTGGTCACCTTGGACAGGTGGTCTCTTTGAAGAGGGTCGCCTCACAACATGACTAAGACATAAATGGTTTCCAAGTCGAGATGTTTTAATGTCACATGCTGTAAGCATCTTCCATGTCTTCAGTTCTGTGGGGAAAATATTGGGGGCCGAGAAAAAGCGGCCAGGTTTGACTGTATAATTAAGTCAAGACTGTGACATACAGGAACTGTACACAAGTAGCTTGCAAGTTAAGCAGAAATCTCTACCTTCATGGCGCTGTCTTGATTATTTTTTCCAATCTACACATTCCTACATTGTAAGTCACATGCAGGCATTCTGTTGGTGGAAGCTTGACAGAAAAGGAAAGTTTCAGTGCTGCACAGTGGCTGTATTACTAGAGTTGGAAGCAACCTACAGCTTTTATGTACACTTCCACGTTACCATGTATCTTCCCGAGTGTCCAGGGAGGGGGGGACTACAAGTCTGAGGAACAACAAAGAGGAGTCACTGAGGAAACTGTGCCCTTCTGTGGCTCCAAACACGGTAAAAGTTGAGCACTGACATCTAATTAAGAGAACCCAAAAAAGCATATCAAAATTCTCAATATTGCCCTTAAGTGTGCAGGAACTTTTACGATATTTTCTGTCAAATTTCCCAATGTGTGTCAAATGATTTGTTTAATCAAGGCTGTCAATCCAAAGCAGCTTTTAATACAATGTTTAATCTGATTCAAGACATGAGGCCATGCTCTTTTCCAATTGAAACAAATCGTGAATAAAAGATGTGAAAATACTATTCTATCACTGACAGCACTGAAACAAAGACATGAATAACAAATTCACGCCACGCAATGATCATTTGTCTCTCAGTAGACTGACCCAGTGTTGACGTCAGTCAACTGAGGAAGACTAGAGTGACTGGTCGAAAGACTACATTTAGGTGAGAGAATTTTTTGTGATGGATCGAAAGTTTTAACTCTTAATGTGTCCTGAGTTACCAATGTTATGACCCAGTGTTGACGCCACACTTCAAAGAAGCCACGTGACAAGCCTCACTGGGTCAGTCTACTGAGGAAGACCTGGTCGAAAGCTCTAGCTAGTGAGAGAACTTTTTGTGTTGGATCGAAAGTTTGAACTCTTAAACATGTCCTGAGTTACCTAGCGATGTCTGCCTACCCTCCTGCCTGCTGATCTTGAGTGTAACGGTGTCTCCCGCGGACTGGAGGAGCTGGATGGCCTCACTCAGGCGTTTCCCTCGCAGGGACTGACTGTTGATGGCCAGGATACGGTCCCCTACATGGATGGCTCCAGTTCTGTGTGGTCATGAGAACAATTAACAATATACGTGTACAATGTATTTGATGATGATGGTTTATCAAGGAGAAATAATCCAAAAATCCAACATTTGCAGCCAGCTGGATGAACTGATGTCACATTACGTTGATGAAGGTTAGACATTGAGGCAATAAGATACATGAACCCCAACAAGCAGCTCAAGCAACTGGATATAATTTTGGGAATGGTCAGACATTTCAGCTAGCATCCACTACCTTTCGTCAGGGCATGATGTCACATTATTTGAGATCAACATACATATCTTACTGGGTAACACATGATTACGAAGAATTAATGTAAAAAGGATGGTGTGATTAAAAGCAAAGTACTTAACAAAAGGTAAGGTTTCAAATCTTATGGGCGAATGATATTATCACAAAGCAATTTTATTGTCTTCCTCAAATTTACAAGACCGTACCTTTGCGCTAGTCCTCCGTCTGTCAATCCCGACACTGTGACTGGGTCAAACGGCTCTTCTGTGCCTGGAGGGTGGAAGATGTTGGTTAGACTATGTAACAAGTTAACAATTTAGAGCCAGCATTGTCTGATTCAGACTTGAGTAGTCACATGTTATAATTATTGTTCTTCATTGTTTGTCATTTTCATGTTATACTATAATAGTCGTGTAAAAATTTGCAATACACAATATTCATTATCATGAAAGTTCATCATTCTGTGTCAACTTGGTTGTTACATGTACATGTTTAAAGGCAAATCTTTCGTTCCAACACAAGTAACTGGTCAAAAGCTCTAGGTGAGAACATTTAGTCTTGTGTTGGAACAAAAGTTTAACATTTAAACAATATTTATTACTATATCATGCATCAACCTTAAAGTTTGTAAGGTAACAGGGAATCAGACAGTGATCTCACCTGAAATCGTGATGCCCAATGGCCCACCGTGTCTAACCAGCTCTACGGAGTAACAGATCGCTCCACTCACATCGTGCTCCTCTGAAGGGGAAGATACAATGTAATGGTCAAATTGTATTATTTATGAGTAAAAGCTTTTTTAAGCAGTGATGATCTTTTACATGTACAGTAGGCAATACTAAGCAAGCTTTCTGCGTGATTCAGTTTCTTCAGTTTCTTTCCTTGTGACTTTGGCAACCTGAAATTACACTTCAGAAGTAGTACTATATTTTATCTTCAAATACTTTAAGCTTGTGTTTATTACTGCTTCCTGTGATGAAAATGAACCCCAGCTTTGTTCTTATGTTTCCATATCATTTGCTAGTATAGCATACATGTACTTTCCACTTAATTCTAGCTTCTTTCAGAGATTAGTCACAGCAAAAATGAATAAGACTTGAGTTGATGTATGTCCCCACATGTTTGTTTGGCAGAGCTAGAAACATTATTTTCTACCCTACCTACCTGGTTCTGCACTACAGAAGGACACTGCAGTTTCCATGCAGCATGAGGACAAATAACTCCAGTCAATTTACCAGAATGGACAAGGCTTTACATACATGTAAACATCAGAACTGGAACAACCAACAGTCACATCTAAAACCCATAGGTGCTAAACTTTAAGTCTAGCTAAGCTTGGCACTGTGTGTTGTTTGGTCTAGGCATAAGCCATAGAATTTGTTGTGAATGACATTTGAGAAAGCAAAATGCACTTTGCCTTTCCTGGTAAGAGCTTTAAGAGACCTGGAATCCTCTGTTTCCCTACTTTTTAGAACAGGGCTTCACTGTTTATAGAAAATAATGAAAAACAGATGAGTTACAGTTCGTAGTTTGAAAGTACATGTATACATAGAGATGAATCATATGTGAAAGTGGGAATGAAGTTATGTTGTGATACAAATTGATTTTGAGAGTGTATGATTATGAGTTGGTCACTCAAATACTTAACCGTCTTGGCAAACTTAGCTGGTATGTTACGCCGAAGGGCAGTTATACCAACTAATATATTATACTGATACAGATAGAGAAAAAAGAACTGTGACAATACCTGAGTACAGCTCATCCTTGCGTATCCTGAGCTTGACTATCTCGTCACACTGAGCCAGGATCTGTGCGGCGTCCTCCATGGAGCAGTTGTCCAGACGGATGTTGTCAATGGCCAGGAGCTTGTCTCCAGGAGCCAGCGTGCCCGTCCTGAACAACAGGAACAGTCAAAACATCAGGATTACTACAGTATGGTGGAACTACCCTGTAGTGCTTTCCAGTGACAGACAGAAATGAAGAAACAAAAGACAATGGCCAGGAGTTTGTCTCCCGGAGCCAGGGTGCCGGTCCTGAACAACAGGAACAGTCAAAACATCAGGATTACTGTAGGGTTGTGGAACTACCTTGTAGTGCTTTCTAGTAACAAACAGAAATGAAGACAATGACCAGGAGTTTGTCTCCCAGAGCCAGGGTGCCCGTCCTGAACAACAGGAACAGTCAAAACATCAGGATTATTGTAGGATCGTGGATTGTACATTGTAGTGCTGTCCAGTAACAGACGGAAATGAAGAAACAAAAGACAACCGATGGCCAGGAGCTTGTCTCCCGGAGCCAGAGTGCCAGTCCTGAACAACATCATTATCATTAGATACAAGCTTTGAACAATGTTTAGAACTTTAAAGTTAGATGTTCAAAGGCTAGGTGTAACAAGTCGTTCAGTGTAATGTAGCCAGCTATCACATACATGTACATGTTATATATCATAATGAACATTGTAATATTGTAGTCACCCTCATGTGATTTAATGTTTAGACTTAAGGAACACAAAGAATAGCTGTGTCAAGCTTATAGTGGATCCTAATAAAGTGTGCATTAAAGAAAGAGACCATCTTTCTGTGTGAAGGATTGACATTTTTGCAATCTATAGTTGGAAAGCATGCTGCTAGAGTGGCCCAGAAAAACATAAATACTTCTTAATTAGCCTCCTTTATAGGAAAAGGCCCCTCTTAACAGTTAAGACATTTACAATGTATAACTAAGAAGAAACCCTAATTATGAGGTGTGACTTACCTGTGTGCCACACTCCCCTTCTTAATGTCTGAGATAAGAAGAGGTTCTCCCTGTTTCCTGGTGCTGGGAGCTGGAAAACAAAGTTTAGAGCTTCAATCAGTAAAAAATAAAAGACAGTTATACATGTAGGTCCTCAGCTTATAAAATTTGTACATCTACAATGTATGCATATCTGATCTGGTATATAAATGTCTTAATATTGTACAAAATAATAATAGTACTGATCAGAAGAAACAGCTTCAAAAACAAGACCTCATCTCAATGCTAGAAGTATGATTTCAATGCTTTATTCTTACTTTATTGTTTACATATTTAATTCACCGTGTTAACTTTATATTATCTTGCACCTATTTTGAGTTAAATTGTTTGCTTGTCCCTTAATACATTGCAAGTTAAATGTAAATGTAATAAATGTATGTAAATAAGATCGTAAAATTAATAGGATTTGGGAGAGTCCACTAAGACAAACCTTCAGGTTTCTTGGGCTCTCCAGCATATATTTGCTTGTATATAATTTCATTTTATACTGTTACTTTTTTATGTGCAAAATGATACTAAACAAACAAAACAAATGCTGTAGACCTTAATTTTCCCTTTCAAACTGCATGAGGGGGATTGTTATGAAATGTCAGGATTTGACATGTGTTCATTCTGGACAGATAGGGTACAATGAAAACAACTGAGGATGAACTTACAGTTGATGGTGATCCCCAGGCCACCTGCCCTCTTGGGCAGCTTGATGTTAAAGGTTCCACTGCTGGGCACCACAGATTCTTACAATGTAAAGAGAGAGAAAAATATTTGATTCATAAAATAATGATTGATGATATTTGACAAACAAATTGTACATGCTTAAGTGCTTTATTCTGGTATACAGAAACACTACACACAATGTGTCTCAGTAAAAACTTTGCTCAAGTCATAAAGTTTAAACCCTCTACAAGGCTACAGAACTACAGTACTCAAAGCACTGGAGTGACCACCTCTACAATCATGTACATGTACATGTAAGGACCACTTTGACAATGTCACAACTTTCTGGTGGTCTCATACTAGATATTTTCCCATTGACACATGCATCAAGAATCCTGTCTAAAGTGGCCACATATAGGCATTTCCTCGGTCTTGTAAGACCATGAATTCTACACCGTGTACTTCCACATACACCAGAATTTTATAGGTCCCCTGTATGGTGTATGGTCTACTTGGGCAGTCTTTAAAGTACCTTTACCTTTACACAGTGTCTAAATATACATGTACTCAGAAAAATCTGTATCTGTATATCTGTGCATGAATCTGTATCTGTGCATGAATATGTATCTGTACTTGAATCTGTATCTGATTGCAAATAAAAGTTAGATATCGAGTGATTGCCATACAAATATAGTTCAGCTTACCGGCGACATCAAACTCCACTTCCAGAACACACTTCAACCCTGACTCCCTCAGCAGCTAGTTCGCCAAGTCTAGAGTTAGTTCCTCTGTAGACATTCGTGGATTGTGTACCTTTACCTTTACACAGTGTAGAAGTACACAATTATATGTAGTCCAGCTTACCGGCAACATCAAACTCCACTTCCAGCACACACTTTAGCCCTGACTCCCTCAGCAGCTGGTTTGCCTCCTCCAGAGTCAGTTCCTCTGTAGACATGCCATTGATGGACAACACCCGATCTCCCACCTGCAGTATACCCGTCCTGAGGGGGCACACAATGGACACTCTCACATCTGCACATGCATACATGTAGATAAGTTTATCATAATAATAATAACTTTATTGCACAACAATTGTACAAGGCACAAAGTATGGCAACTAGTGGTATATAACACCTTTTCTATAAGGCCAATCTACCTAATACAAAAGTGTGTAATGTGGGATAAGAGTGTAGTATAAAATGTCTTTCTCAAGCAAAAGTGCAACATACAGTTAAAAATTCATTGTATCGCATACAAGTTAGTTATCTACATGTGTTTGGCTATACTATTTCATCTGTTCAACTGATTTCAAACTTCAATATCTGTAAAGAGCATTGAATTGATCATATAAAAATGTTGTATAAAATGTATAAAATCAACACTGAACACTGAGTTGTCCAGGTCAGTAAAGTTAAAACTTACACTGTAGTAAACTTAAATCCAAGACATGTGGTAGTACAATGTAACTCCCAGAAAGCTAATATAGTATTGTCCTGAACATCATAGTCCTGACCTGTCGGCAGGTCCATCCGGGTCGATGAACCCGATGACAGGAGGTGACGTCAGCGTCTCCGTGGCAAAGACTCCGCCCTGTAGGCTGAAGCCCAGTCCTGAGGGGTCAGGATGGACCTGAACCTCCGCTATCTCCACTCGTACAACCTGCTGGGGAGCATGGCTGGATGACACAGACACTACAGGACAGAGAAACAGGAGAGTTTAGGTTATAGATATCCTATAGACTCCGCCCTGCAGGCTGAAGCCAAGGGTTGAGGGGTCAGGATGGACCTGGACCTCCGCTATCTCCACTCGTACAACCTGCTGGGGAGCATGGCTGGACGATACAGACACTACAGGACAGAAACACGGGAGAGGTTATGTTATAGATTATCCTATAGCTATAGACTCTGCCCAGGGCGCTAAAGCCCAGGCCTGATGGGTCCGGATGGACCTGGACCTCCGCTATCTCCACTCGTACAACCTGCTGGGGAGCATGGCTGGACGATACAGACACTACAGGATAGAGAAACACAGGAGAGTTTATGTTATACATTGTAGATATCCTATAGACTCCACCCTGCAGGCTGAACCCAAGGCATGAGAACAACACTGAGACTGGCGCTGCTGTCTTCATATACACAATCTGCATGGCTGGACGATACAGACACTACAGGACAGAGAAACAGGAGAGTTTATGTTAATATAGATATCCTATAGCTATAGACTCCGCCCTGCAGGCTGAAGCCCAGATCGGAGGGGTCAGGATGGACCTGCACCTCCGCTATCTCCACTCGTACAACCTGCTGGGGAGCATGGCTGGACGATACAGACACTACAGGAAAAACAGGAGAGTTTATGCTATAGATCTGTGTCTGTATGTGTATCTGTATTGCCAATATACATTGTAACTTAACAAAATTTGTCCCTCATTAAGTGTCTCAGAGGGTTATGAGTTTCATAATTTTTGGTGAGAATATTTCTCAATAAAGCAAGCGCGTCTAACCCTCGTTACGGGGAACTACAGATGATAAACCGGATAGGGAAATCTTTGAGACTCAATGCATGGCTTGTGCCCTGGAAAGCTTCTGCACCTAACCCCTATGCTGGTGAGAACCCTGGCCCCCTTACCACATAACCTAGACAGAAGGACTCAGTATATAGTAGAGGGGATTCATTCCTCAAGCTAACCGACATCTTGCACACGCAGTCGTCCCTCAGTAAGACTGGCGGAATAAAAGTTCTAAACAGGAACTACATGTATAGGTGTCTTACTGAGGGACGACTGCATGTGCAAGATGTCGGTTAGCTTGAGGAATGAATCCTCTCCACTATATACTAGACAGAAGGACTCATTCTTACTTGCTGAGGAGTTGAGCCTGTTCCTCCTGGGGGGTCTCCTGTTGCTCCTGCGCGCGAGCGACGCCCGGCTGATCGTGCCTGTGTGGATACTCGACACGCTGGGGGATGTGGGCGAGTCCATCGGGTAGGAGATCGGCAAGGCTGAAAAAAAAATGGCACCAACAGGGGCTAAGTTGGTAAGTAAGCAGTACAAACAACACGATCAATGTAATCTCCAAGCAGATCTTCCCAAAGACAGTATCAAATTGGCCAGGCAGTATCTATTTGCCAGATAGTACATGTACATGTACAATTAGCAGATCTTTCGGTGGCCGCAAAGACAGTCTCAAATTGACAGGCAAAATCCCTTGGCCAGACAGTACCCATTGGCTACCCAAGATACTGTCTGGCAAATGGATACTGCCTGTCCAATTTGAGACTGTCTTTGTGGGAACCAAAAGATCTGCTTCGAGATTACTTGCCATGACATTACATGTATGTCTGGCAAGCAGTAGGCAAAAGTCGGGTGACAGTTGGGTGATTTCCCCACTGATAATTTGCGTATGATTGTCTTCAAATAATTTGCATGCATATGTATATGATGTAAAGAAAAGAGAGATTGCTTGTATGGTGATCAAGTTAAAAAAATTTCATTTCATCAACAATGCAACAAGACAATACATGTACTTGTGGAAGTTCAGGCAGCTTATTGGCAGATAGATGGCAAACAATTTTATCCACACCATTGTCAGCAATAATACAAGTTAATTATCTTAAATATAAGCTGTAGACAAGTTTTATTTCTATGGTAGAAAAGCCTTGTGAGTGATGTTTGGGACAGCCTTGTGAAAGATCGATATATAAAAGTGTACAGATGACAGAAGATACATGTAAGAAGGTACACAGCGTAGATTTTGTGTTGAACAAGACACTTCCTCATTGGCGTGAGCATCACATGTGCAGCCAGCATTTAGTTATTTATTTATTCGGAATTTAGCCAGCAGTTGTAAGTGCAGGGCTCGAAATTCATTTTTGGGAATAGATGCACCCAACCTAAAAAATTGGGTGCACAAAAATTTTTTGGGGTGCACTATATAAGGTAAAATATGTAGAATGTCAGCCAAAACGTAGTTATGTTGCATTTCTAAAAGAACTATAATAATGATTTTATTATTTTTCTGACACTTTGATGTTAAGATATGCTGTATACCATAATACATTTAACATCTTTAAATACGTAGACCTACAAAAATACTTCGGTGCACTGGAGCACCCACAGAAAATAATTGGGTGCACAGCTCCAAATTTGGGTGCACTAAGGTGCACATGCACCCAGTATTTCGAGCCCTTAAGTGTGAGGTCAGCCTTACAAAGAGGCAAAGCAGAACAACGACTCGGTCTTTACCGTCACTAAGCATAGATTCACTGTTCGACCTTTGGTTGAACGACCTGTCTAGAGTAGAACTGGACGAGGAAGAGGTAGTGGTAGCAGTACCCGATTTCGAAGCTGACGTCCGCGGCTTTCGTTTCTTGGGAGGGAGGGCAGGAGGAGTGTCCACGATACGAGGGATTTGGGAGACATTGACATAGACATGGTGGGAGGCTGCAGCACAGGAAAGAAAGAAGGAAAGAAAGAAAGAAATGGCAGAAGAAAGAGCAAAACAGGTAACAATCAGAAGAAGGCAGTACGTGTAAAACAAGAGACAGTTGTACAGCCCAGTCATCACAGTGTAGAGGCTAAAACCAATGTTTCATACATGTGTGTGCGTGCAGAAATATTTGATGACAGAATGATAAAGCATACATGTCATGTAGCATACATGTTCATGTCATGTTTAATGATGATTATAATTATAGTCAATATTAGTCATACATGTACTTTGGCTTGAATAATCAAAATCTGGTTATTTAGCCCCCTTCATGTAGTGTCACAATGTACATGTACATGTAAGTGCGATGGCAGGACAGAAGTGGTAACTTAAGGAATAGCAGCAATAAAAGAACATACAAAAATGTACAGCATAAAAACAAGTTTGCAACTTAGGGGCAAAAGTTTGATAGATGTGCAAACAAAAAAGGGTAACATACAATGTACAATTGACAGCAGGAATGTACTTTTTATACATTGTATTAAGACCAAGATGATTTTAGACATGTTTAATTCAGACAGAATTGTAGACATCTTCAATTTTTTATATCTTGGCACAGCATCAAAAATGTATACGTCATCATCCAAACAGTAACTGATTGTGATATCATCAATAATAATTACATATAACATGTGTCTCAAGAGGTCAGAAACAGAATTAAAAGCAAAACTTGTCTATTTCTCCTAACCAAGAGGGGTGACTGTGGAATTCATGGGTACATAAAGGTGCATTCAATGTATAAAAATATGTTAATTACCTGCAGTATGGTGATGAGCACTTTCCCTCCAGCTCCCCTCTCTTGTCTGTGCCTGGAGACTGGCAGCTGTGGGCTGCACCTCTACTCGGCAGCCTGAAGATAGGGAATGAACCATGCAGATACATGTCTTCAGTTCTGAGTAGAACCTAGAGTAATATTTTTGAGCTACATGTACAGTACATGTAGCTATTTATATGAAAAAGTGAGTCGATGAAGACAGTCTCTACTGCCAGTTTTTTTTATTGCTATCTACTAGTGCAATGTGGCTTCGCTCACATACACAATGTACATGTAGCCAAGTAACATGATAGCAGAGCTTGGTTGGCAATCCTTGGCAGAATGTAGAAGATCGGCAAGACTGTGAATGTTGTCCAAGATCAGCCAAGGACAAGTGCAGTGTCCCATCATAAAAAGTAAACTGGTCCCATCCCCGCCAAGAAAACGGCGCACACACAACTACCAGTTCTCCCAGATCCAGACCAGAACACTGTATAGAGAGTCTTCCTTCCTGCCAATCAAGGATTGGAACACAGCAGAAGCGGACACAATAAACATTTACCATTACTGATGACGGCCTCGTTGCTGGCGCCTGCGTACTTCATGTGGCTGAGCGGGAGGATCTCCAGCTTGACCTCTGCCCCCGTGCTGGCCAGCAGCTGGACAGCTTCGGGCAGCGTCAGGTGCTCGGTGCTGGTGCCGTCGATTGACAGGAGCTGGTCTCCCGCGTGTAGAGCACCACACCTGCGGCAGGGGGGTACAGACATGGAACATTTAATATCATGTGGAAATGTCCTACACTACACTGCAAGGGAAGGAGGAGGGTGGACGACTGAGGGGGCGTCCACGAAGGACCTGGACTAGTGACCTGAAGGAATGGACAGGACATCCCCTGAGTCACCTGACAAGTCTGGCTGAGAACCGCCCTGGGTGGATAAGTCTTGTTGACAGTTTAGTTGCCCCGACGGCAGTACAGACTGCTATGGGACCGGTGAGGTGAGGTGAGGAAATGTCCTTAGATTTGTGATCTAACACAAGGAAATTAATGTGGGTTTTATTATGTGTTCCGTGCTGGTACCGTCGATCGACAGGAGTTGGTCTCCCGCCTGCAACGCACCACACCTGGAGGAGGGATATGTTGGGTATGAAATCAGTGAAAATTACCTGCACCAGACAAGTTTTACCTGCACTACTAAGCATTTAAGAAGTATGGATTATACTGTTCAAAAACTATTGCCATTTCTTTTACACTTAACAGGTAACAGTTAATGGCGCAGGGGTGGGGAGACACAGAACACTGAGTTTCAATATCATGAGGAAAGTTTCTTAGATTTGGGATCCAAAATAAAGAAAATAACTTGAGTTTGAGGGTTTTTTAGCGTGAAATGCACTGCACGTGGGGCAGGGGGGGTGCAGACACAGAATATTCAATATCTACGTTGAATAAAGTAATAAGATTAACTAGAAAGGTAACATTTGCAAAGCAAATGCATAATGTTTACCTTCGCATATGGTATGCTCTGTTAATTCTCACTCAAACAAATTCATATGGTGACAGGAGTCTAAATCCCTCTTGCTATAAAATTGCAACATGATGCAAGCAAACACCAGTTATCATGATGACAGGTATGGTTCAGGTCTTGACCTTTTATGTTTGGAGAAAAGGAAACACAAAGCAAAAGCAAAAAAGCAAAAACAAAACTCAAACTCTACTACTGGATAAATTATGTAGATTACTTCCGGGCGTTTCGAGTCACTCTTCTTCAGTGTCACTAAAATGAACTGAGAGAACAAGTCAATACTAATCACATTTGTGATTCTTTTCAGTTCCTAACATGAGATTAGTGTTGACTTGTTCTCTCAGTTCATTTTAGTGACGCTAAAGAAGATTCACGGATGACTCAAAATGTCGGAAGTAATGTCTGTAATTTATCAAGTAGTTTGATCTGTCTTTGAATAACGTTCAATATCATGGGGAAATTTTCTTAAACTTAAAGTACATGTATATTGATATACACTTTAACAGCAGAAATTTGGAGTGAGAAGAAATAATGTTTTCTGACCTGTCTGCTATACTAGCAGCCTTGATCTCCTTGATAATGAGTGCTTCCCTGTTCTTCACCACAGCCATGCCAGGGGTGATGCCCAGGCTTGCACCGGGGGCCTTTGTAACTTCTACCAGCAAAGGACCCTTGGCGTTCTGTACTGCCTCTGTAGGAAGATATTTCACAATGTATTTTTAATATTTATACAAGTATGGAAATACTGTAAATCACAGCTTCTGGTTATGCTTTGGATTATCATCTAATATTATAATATTATTGCAATAAATTGCATTCATTTATTATCAGCCCCTGAAAACACACAGATAAAACACCATCTGTTTCTAGGTAAATATAAGAATGACTGTTTCTAGGTAAATATAAGAAAGAAATCTACATGATTGTGTACGTTGTAGTTAAATACATAAATTCCAACACTACCTGCTGCAGACGTATCCAGAGGCATGGAAAAAAGAAGCAGTTGTGTGTGTAAAACAAGCTTATCTGACACAACTTCTTCCAGATGCAAAAGTTACATTTTCATTTCATTCATTTTACCAACTTAGATCACACTCAGATATATACGTGACCTGTTTTTCAAATGTCCCTGGATAGGGTACATAAGAAAGCTTAATACTGTAATACACAAACACAAGAACATTACCCTTAATGTCTTGTAATCCAAGACAGTCTAAATGGCTTCAGCTCGTAAAAAGTAACCATTAAATTCCATAGTCTCTCCCACAGTTTAATCTTACCAGAACCCTTTGGGAAGACGTACAAAAATGTATACAGCTATTAGCCTCCATAGCATGCCAAAAACTGGGGGTTTTGGTGGTCTTCATGGTCTTTGGGAGCTTTTATGTGCTATTTTCTGATTGCATATAGACAACATAGCCGGCCTGATTGAATTACCCCCGTTTTTTTGTAGAACTGGGCTGATCAGAAAACAGCCGAAGACCACCAAACCCCCAGTTCCATAAGCCTGCTACGGAGGCTAATCAGAAAACGGCCGAAGACCACCAAACCCCCAGTTCTATAAGCCTGCTACGGAGGCTATACACAGTATACAGCCATAAAATTCCCACTGCCCACAGCAAATAACTGAGTTTGCTATTTGCTAGCCGAAAACTCTGTTATGGGACTTGGAACGCTTACACTGGGGAACTAGCTATGCAGTCAAGCCTGGAAATCGTTAAATTGCATTAAATTTCTGCCATCCGGTCAGACAGTGCGGCAATGCTGCAATTTTCTGCTTGTTTAACTGTCAGCTGCTGTATCTCACATCAGTACACATGGACATAATTTAATCTCACATATGTATGCATGTACAATGTATGTATGCATCTGTTTTCAAAGGAGGAAATCTAAATGTTTTCGGGTGAATCCTATACAATCATGTACCAGTACATGTATGTACCATGTACATTTGTATATGCATGTATGCATCTGTTTTCAAAGCAGGCAATCTAAATGTTTTGTGATTGGGTGAATCCTATACAATCATGACAAATTTGTACCAGTACATGTATGTACATAATTTACATTTGCATGTATGCATGTATGCATCTTTTTTCAAAGCAGGCAATCTAAATGTTTTCGAGTGAGCCCTATACATGTACCGGTATGTATAGTACACATTGTATATGTATGTATGACTCATAATTGTCCCTGTGCAACTTGGCTGTTGCGAATTGTTTTCATGAGTCATGTAAAAATCAACATAATTTTGCACTGCAACGTTGATCTAAATATCTATCAATAACTGATTGAAATGTTGATTGATTGCAGTATTGTACCCATGACTGACACATCATTATTCATTTCATCAATTCAATTGTAAAAATCAACATAATTTTGCACTGCAAGGTATATTTGAATATCGATCAATAATCATTGAAATATTGATTGATTGTAGTATATTGATTGATTGTATCTTAATATGTATGATTTACACATCATTATTGATTTTATCAATTCAATTGTAAAAATCAACATAATTTTGCACCACAACATAATTTTGTTCCTTGTTCCCAACAACTCCAAGAATATTGTTCAATAATTGATTGAAATATATTGATTGATTGCAGTACCGTACCCATGATTGACACATCGTACTCCACCAGTAGGCTGGCCTGCGTCCCGCACTGTTTGAGTGCTGCCACTGCCTCCGCGTGCGTGGCCCCTGATAAGCTGATGTTGTCAATAGCCAACAGTCGATCTCCCACCGCCAACGTGCCTTCCCTGGGGGGACAAGGACGGCATGCATGATTTTATTCGTGATGCTTTGAAGAAAACCTTTCAAAGCTAAGGTACACGTGTACAAGGTCACATAGCTTCCTTGCATGCACGGGGTTCAGTAACAAGGTTCAGTAACAAACATGCCAATTCATTTCCTCAGTCCAGTAGATTTACGTGCTGCAAGACATCAAAATGAAAACAAAGAAGTTACATGTTTTATACATCTGACTACATGTTGCAAATTTCCTACTTAAAACTGTGTGTACCACAGTAAAGCCTTTCCTATCCTGGGCTCTCCTCTCAGAAAATTTTCATGTTGATGGTCTACAACTGTAGATCTTTCAGCATTATTCCTTAAATCCCACAACCGACAAATTGAACTGTTGCATCCTAAGCTAAGCACATCAGACGTAATTTGCAGTCCGTCTGTAATACCGGTAATGCTTCAGTGAAAGCCTCTTAGTCTTTTTGACACCAGGTGACCCGATATCAGTGGTCCATTTCATTCCACATGTCCTCAGAATACCCCAATTTTGGCTACTGGCATCTTGAACTGTTTATACATAGTCCACAGCTGGATAGGTGTGAGGAGTATACATCTCTTCCTATTGCATTATACAATATATACTTTGTTCCGAGTCGTAAACCAAGGCTTTAAGTCATAATCTTGGTTTTCTTGGCATAGCATAATTCTAAGCACTATTATCAGCAATCAACTGAAAAATGCGCGAGCTGTTGCAATATTGTGTTCAGTCAGTTTTTATTGGTTATGTCATTTCTGCACCCCGGATATTAAACGGACGGCTGGATATAATCGCGCGCAACTCATGTCACTTTTCTTCCCCACCGCGAATTGTAAAAATAGTTACGAGACGCGTGTGACGCATTTTACGGGAGAAACTTGAAGTTACAAGCGACAGAGCAGCCGTGACACAAAGTTGGGCTAATTCTTTATCAACTGTCCCACAGAGGATGCATTATCGATCGCCCGCACTTTGTAAAAATTGCAGCCCGCACGTAAAACCGGTCCTGCTGACATACATGTTATTTCTGCGCACATAAAACGGACCACAAAAGTACATGTCCCCCATGATGCGGTGATAACCGAATTTACCGCCTGTGAAACTGCGCGATATTGCCATTTAATCCTGTGAAATATACGGGATAATTGGGTACAATACATCAACGTCTTGCCTTCAAACTCGGGCAGCTTAAAAGTACACAGACTCCATACCTTACTAACTGCACTTTTAATCTGTAAGTGTAAGCCATCTTCTTATGCTATGTGGTATGTACATTTGTACTAATGAAGCATTTTGTCCCTCTTCTTCCAAAGACATGAACGCAGATTTAGGAACACCTTGAAAACTCAGTCCTATCACACTATGTGTTTACAAGTTCACTCAACTCAAAACCCTATTACATAGCAGAGGTTTTCCTTGTTCCCAACACTTTACAATTTACAAAATGAAGCATGTGTATCTTGTCACTCTTCTTCCAAAGACACACAGGCAGATTTATGACACCCTATTGTATAACCAAGGTTTTCCTTGTTCCCAACACTTTAATTTTAAGTTTAAAGAATTTGCAAAATGAAACATGTGTATCTTGTCACTCGAAAAGACACAAAGGCAGATTTATGACAACCTATCACACTACATGTATGTGTTATACTAACCCTATTACATAACCAAGTTTTCATTATTCCCAACACTTCAAAGAACTTACAAAATGAAGCATGTGTAATTTCTAGAACAAATTTCTATAATTTCTATAATGAAGCATGTGTATCTTGTCACGCTTCTTCGCAAGACACGGAAGTCATATTTACGAGTAGCTTCACATACCTGTCCTAGATGTATATCACACTATGTGTTATACAACTCGAAACCCTTACAATTACATAACCAAGGTTTTCCTTGAAGCACATGTATCTTGTCACTGTTCTTCTGAAGACATGGAAGTCATATTTACGATGAGCTCCACATACCTGTCGGCCGGTCCGCCGGGCCTGATGTTAGTCACCAGCAGCGGGCGCGACTGCCTCCTCTCGTCTGCCACACCTCCTGGAACACACCGGGTCACAGGTCAACACAAATCTGTCTCAGCTCAAACACCATCACTGACGTAGGTGAAGGTTAGACATCCAGGTAATAAGATATGCCAAAAAGCAGTTACTCAAGCAACTGGATATGATTCTGGAAACGGTCAGACGTTTCAGCTAGTATCCACTAGCTTTCGTCAGTGACACAAAGAGACCATAGGAGAATGGCAGGTCACTGACGAAAGCTAGTGGATACTTACTAGCTGAAACGTCTGACCGTTTCCAAAATCCTATCCAGTTGCTTTTAATTAGTAACTGCTTTTTGGCATACCATCACTGACGGCCCGGTCTATACATGTAAGTTGTACAATGGTCGCAAAAACAAAATTCAACTGTCACGATACGAATAAGGCTGTCAAAAATCCTTGTGTTAGTTCTGTCGCAGCTAGTGATGCATACCAGTTCACTGGACTTGGATCCGGACTTGTAAGAATGTTTAGGTTCAAGTCCAAAAAAACCTAAAAGTCAAGAACCGAGTCCGGACTTATTACCATAAAAGACCATTTCACATACCCTTTTTTTTGCAAACTACCTAAAACCTTCCGTAGATTGAAAAATCTTTGCTGCAAAATGAAGAAAACATTGCCATCGGGCATCGTCAAGTACCAGCCTCCATGTTATGTGGCCAAAGTTTCACCCAGACAACATTGCAAGGTTCCAAACATGCAATTTTGTATATGCCATGGGTTTAGGTCCGGACTTACAAGTCCAGAACTGAACCTAAACCTCTGGACTTGAGTCCGGACCTGAACCTAAATGTGGGTTTAGGTATGCATCACTAGTCGCAGCCTGGTTGAAAATTCTACGGCTTCAAAAAAAATTGCACGACGTCTTACAACAGATGTGACCAAGCCGTTAATCCAAAGGTAACAACGTGACAACTGTAAGAATTAGGAGAGTAGAAACAGAAAGAGACCCCTGGCCCCGGGCTGGGATCGAACCCACGGCCCCCGGGCGCCAAGCTTACAATCCGACGCTCCTACCGAATCAGCTAAAAGGTCTAGACCCATCGGCCGGGTCAGTCGGTAGCGCCTGTGAACCCCACACTGTTACACAACAACCCTTGCTGTGGAAGTGAAAGTGGTCCGTTGCCTACAGGAATAAGCCGTTATGTCCAGTCACCGCTGTGGAATGCCAATGCCGGATTACTGGTCTGCCCTTCTGGGCAAGAGTGAAGTGTATGTGTCGTGTCATTCAAACACCACTTGATAGCCACAACAACTTGTGTACGTAAAACACTTCATCAAGGGGCACTGAAGAAAGTGGTAACCATCTGTTGTTGTAATCCCCTATCTTTCCCACCACCTCTGTCTGTTGTTAGTAGCCGGAAGAACAGACTTTTATTTCTAAGATACAGTTAAAACTGCCCAAGAGGAACAGAATTTGTGCACAATAAGCTTTGAAATGCAGCCTGCAAGTACACTTGCGTCTAAGGGAAATGAGTAACATGTGAGTTATAAAAACCCTATGAAACACTATCTTGGGTAATTATCCTTGTAAACAGTGATAGTAATGGTTTGACTTTTGTCTCAGGTATTCTGATGTACTCTCTCTTGCAAACCCATCAAATCTGAACTAAGTAAAAGCACAAATCCATGATGTTTATTGGTAATTAAGGGTAAAAAAATAAATTTGCTTTTTATGGACATGTGCCAAATCAGAGAGGATCTAGGAAATTGATTGTACAAATTACATAATCTTTGTATATCAAAGAGTTATGATCCCAAATTGAAATCAATAAGAGGAAATGAACACCCTGTAAAGTAACAACAGTCATCACAAGAGATTACGCATCACATCCACCTCTAATCTACATGTATATCACCTTAATCTCACCTGGGTTAGTGTCACACCGTGTTACACCTTACTTCAGCAATTCACCGATTAACATAAACTGTATCTTTGAGTATTAATACTACAACACAAGAAGTGCAGCCATTGCAACAGCAGTACTACTAGAAAAAATTCAACAAACACTGTGTGAAGTAACAGTTATCAGAAGACATTACGCATTCACATCCACCTCTAATCTACAGGTATATCACCTTAATCTCACCTGTGTTAATGTGACCCAGTGTACACCTTACTTCAGCAATTCACCGTCAAACATAAACTGTACAATGTACCTTTGAGTATTTACTACAACACAAGAAGTGCAGCAACTGCAACAGCAGTACTACTAGAAAAATTCAACAAACACCGTGTGAAGTAACAGTCATCAGAAGACATTACGCATCACATCCACCTCTAATCTACAAGTATATCACCTTAATCTCACCTGGGTTAGTATGACACCGTGTTACACCTTACTTCAGCAATTCACCGACTAACATAAACTGTACCTTTGAGTATTTACTACAACACAAGAACTGCAGCAATTGCAACAGCAGTACTTCTAGAAAAAATTCAACAAACACCGTGTGAAGCAACAGTCATCACAAGAGATTATTATACACATCACATCCACCTCTAATCTACAGGTATATCACCTTAATCTCACCTGGATCAGTGTGACACCTGTTACACCTTACTTCAGCAATTCACCGATTCACATTACTGTACCTTTTAGTATCTACTACAACACAAGACCTGAAGAAGAGCAGTAATTTCAACAGCAGTCTCCGTCCCTTGCCACAGTCTGCTGTAAGCAGGTCTCCCTGTCTGTCTGGAATCAAACCAAAATCCAGTCTTCCCTTATAAGTCAGCTGTTATTGTACATTCAGTCTCCAAGTCCAATCCAACTTGGCAGACTGAGGTGTCCGGGGTTTATGTGATCTACCCTAACCTATAATCTCGCTGGGTGGACGTGATCATGTGACAAACATCCTGTGGGTGAGATTTGCATGAGTCAGCTAAGATTTCTACTGCCAAGTTTAAGACACACTAATTATTTAATTTGTTGATTCTCGGAATTACTCACACACTCACTATCCAGGATTTGATTATACTGCTGCTGTTGTCCCTGCCACAAACTAATGCTGAACTTCATAAAAAGTGACTCTCTCTGAATTTTTTTTTTCAGTATAAACTGGATGCCCACAGATCTAGATGATTGATTGACTGAACCTACATATTTTCGTGTCCTCTTGATTTGTTTGAACTCTAAAAATGTCATGGACATGGCCAGACTTCGGAGCCAGGTTTGGTTTGGTTTAAGTCTTCAGAACTGGTAGAAATCTTCATAAAAAGTGACTCTCTCTGAACGTTTTTTTTTTTGTTTATAGTAACTACATGTATATGCCCACAGATCTAGATGATTGATTGACTGAACCCATTTTCCTGTTCTCTTGATTTGTTTGAACTCTTAAGAACGTCATGGACATGGCCAGACTTCGGAGCCAGGTCTTCAGACATCCAAGCCAGATGTTGTCATCATAAAGGGAGTGAAAAATGTGTTTCTCAAGGTCAGGCCCTCCACAGGTTTCGACCTATGACCTCTGTCCACAGGGCAAAGCTAACACACCCAACCTCCACCCTAGTCTTCTCTCCATTTCTGCTCTTTCTTACTCAGCACACAAGGAGATGATTTCATGAGTACTTCTTTTCTAATGACCTTGAAAACAGCCCTTACCCCACACTTTGCAATTACAGAACCTCCTACTGGCACAAGTTAACGTTACTTGACCTTGAGGTCGCCGATAAGGATAAAAGAACGTCTCACTAGCTGACAATAAAGTAGAAAAGGTTAAACCTGTTTTCTCTGATTTTTGTGTTGCTATCGAGATATTAGAACAGAGCTGTACCATGTTTATCACTGAGTAACTGGTTATGGCCCAGAACAATGATTGGAACAGGCAGCAATTTCTCAAAACACATCCTGGTTCCAAAAGTCTTCTGCCAATCTGCAAAAGGATCCAGGACCAAAGCTGACCTTTGTCTTTCAAACCCTTCCTTGCCACTTGCCGCGTCTCTGTTTGACATAACTGACAACGGCTGTTGAAAACTTACAAGCACATCTCGTTGTAGTAACATCATCTGCGGATGGTGCAGGGGTTCTCATACCAAACAAGAAATCAGAGATTTCAGACTTCGGGGGAAGTATGCAATCTTCGGCCTCCTCAAGTTAAAAGTTAAGTTAAAGTCCTTTCCGCACCAGGTGGTGCATAGGGCGGTGCCAATCTCAGGTTCAGTAGCCCTTGGGCCACACAATCACTACAGCAGGGGGCTAGTCCACTGGTAGTGGTGTGTGTATGTTCAGCTCCCATACTCTTTCCCAAATGCTGAGTGCTATATAAAGCAGAGAAATCAGTATGTACCATTTTTATAGTCTTTGGTATGACTCGGCTGGGGATAGAACTCATGACCTACTGAAAGGCGAGTACTCTACCCACTTGGCCAATTCCCCCATGCTGACCTCTAATTCCTGCTGCCCCACAGCCAGATACTGAGACCTTTGACCTGTCATTCGGCCTGTCAATCTTACCCCCTAAAACACGTGCTGTCAACCTACTCTGTCCAGACAAACAGACATACAAACCTACAGTTCAGCCATCCAAAACAGTACTTCCATACCGGTACCATACAGTGAGTACTTGGACTGGTTGACAAACAAACGTACTGTAACTCAAGTTGTGGGTGTCAACTAAAACTATATATATATAATGTACATTATAATAAAGAGTACTTCAAGTTTTATTTTTGTCATTTCACATATACTTTGTAGTTCTTGAGATATTTGACTAACAATTTGGAGTTTTTTTTAAAGTTCTAACTGTCGTTTCAACTTTGATTGAACTGACCAGTGTCATGTCTATACTTTATCATCTACCAATAAATGCCCTGGGAAACATCACTGTATCAGCTGGCCTGATAGTACTCCCCACTGACCACTTGATAACCCTGAATGATGTGAAAATGGACAGTAAGCATTCATAAACCAGCCGTCGTGATTATAAACAAAATTCTGCTTCCTAAACAAAGATAACATAACGATAACACCATTTAGGTCAAGCTGGGCAGTGACAGGGTCAGATGCAACTGAGTTTAACCATTATACAAGTACTAGACTAAGTATACATGCCAATCAGTTCTGTTATGACAGTTGTTAACTTTTGATGTTTGAATCAAAAATCAAAACAGCCAAGACTTTATGAAAAAAAAGGGCTAAACTTTCATGCTAAGCCAATACTTTATTTGGTTTTGGTTCGGTTTTCTTTTTAATGCCCACGGTCATAATAATGATCATTCTGGCATACTCATTTTCACCTGAGTGAAGTGAGGAAAGTCCTGTAAAGTGCATTTCCCATTAGGGCACAAGATCGGTGACAAGGTGGGGTTCGAACCCGGGATCTCTTGGTTCCAGGCCAAAGACGCTACCCCTATGCCACACTACCCCACCATTTGAGTCCACATTTCTGGTCCTGAATGTCAACTGTAATGAGCAATGCTCTGATTGGATGCTTGACACGAACTTCTCTCAATACTACCTGATTGGAACACTGGTATTCTATTTTTGATCAAGGTCAAACTGACAACTGCCTTATGATTACAGTCTGTACTGATGAGTCTGAAGAACTGTTTAACCTTCTTCTTGCTGCCTAGGGCCTAGGAAAAAAATGTTGTGTCTCCTGTTTCAGTCCTGAAAAAATAAGGGTCAGTAGGTAGGGATCTTTTTTTCTTTTCTTTTCTTTTTAGACTTCAGTGATATCGATATATACAATATGGTTTGACAAAGTAAAACTTGCATGAGGACACTTTTATTTTCAATGTCAATGTTAGAAAACCAAATGTTCAACGTTTTATCACTTACATGTAGGAGTCAGATCATGGAGCTAGAAAAGGTTGATCAGCTCAAAAAATTAAATTTATTTATGTCCCTTGCAGGGGTCCACCCCCTAAAAAAAGTCCAGGGTTGGCAGGTTTTTCTAGGGTTGGTCAAGAAACAGAAAACAATTTTTTTCCTAGGCCTAACCTCATAAGCAATACAGATCTGGAGCCAAATGCATACAAATGTACCTTAGCAGGCTGAAGGTTAAAAGATCCCATGGGTACCATATGCTCCTGTCTAGCTTCTTTCAAATCAATACTCAAACTTGGCAACTCATCAAGGTCAAGTATTTATGACAGTATTCCCAGACCTGTCGTTTTGACTGATGGTAGATGTACAGTATAAGGTACTGCATTTTTCATACACCAACACACCTTGTCTTGTAATTTATTAATCTGTATTGAAAAGAGTTGACTTTTATCAAAAGGGTCCTAGAGTCAATTTATATCATTTCTATAACATGTAACAATCACTGACGTGTTGTAGGTTGGCCAATATCCATTTACTTCAATGTTCATCTGCTTGTTGTTTTTTGCAAGATTAGAATCCAGATGACACTTCTAGATAACCAAATACAATAAAATGCAAATTGTTTTGTTGCATTTTTTTATATACCAAGACATCTTGTCTTGTAATTTATTCAGCTGTATTGAAAAGAATTTACCTTTTATCAAAAGGGTCCTACATTACATGTAGGATACCATATATCATTTCTATAACATGTAAAAATCACTGAAGTGTTGTAGGTTGTCCAATATCCATTTACTTCAATGTTCATCCGTTTGTTGTTTTTTGCAAGATTAGAATCTAGATGACACTTCTTGATAACCTAATACAATTATAAAATGCAAATTGTTTTTTAAGCAGTTAAAAATACATCCAATATAGATCTGTAAGTTCATCTCAACTTGCCTACAGACTTACCTCGAATTGTGAATCCGAAACTTCCGCCCTCCTTCTGCAGACTCAGTTCCACCTCTTTGGTAACCACATTCCCACCTGCCTCTTGTGCTGGAAGGCAAAGGAAGAAAAAAAGAAGAAAAAACATAAATTTTGTCCAGGTCAAAGTGGGTGATAAAAGCAGCCTTCAAAAGGTTTTTTCTGTTTCACAGATCATAAAAAGTACATCAACATAAACCTGTAAAACTAATGCACCCCCATCTGCAAAAACAAACTGTAGATAACACCAAGGTTAAAGAGTTGAAAGCTTGCACAAGCACAAACAAATTCTAACAGCTAAGCATAAAACTAGTCTAAGAAGTCATAAATCCTTACACCGAGCGGGACAGGCCATCTTGTCTTCATCACCAGTACAGGGGAATGGGAAACATTTGATTCGTCCTCTTCTTGACATCGTTCTGAAACGGTGTTTACTTCCACTCATTTTCCTTTATCTCTAGTTTCCTAAGCCTGCTCACTTTTGACCACACCTTGCACCCACACAACTGGGGCTTCTAGCAATGCGATGTCTCCGCAGATGCCTCCGAGCCAGACATGTCATGCACTGACCCTTGGTGAACCCTACCTTGTTGCTTGAGACAACTTGATCTACTTTCGCACATCTGCGTGTGTTTCTTCTGCGTCTTACGCTTTATTTGAACACGGCTAGTAAAACCTGCGGATCACATGTGTCCGAAAAGCCAGCGCTTGTCGTCATATCCGACGATCATACCCGAACGATTCAGGCATTAGAAAAATTACTACGGTTATCTGTTGAACCCAACCTTCACGTTGAATCATTGATTAACTGGGAAAGATGCTCCTGCAGGGAAGCCACCAAAGGGTCAAGGGCTGCGTGCCGGCATTTCTGGCACCGTTATCTGTCTTTGTTTTGAATTCCGTCTGTAAAACTTTGCGCCCTGAGCTGCGTTTCTTGATGAGGAAAAGCTGTGCCAGGCTCCCGATGTGCCTAGAGTTACATGTACAACCACAACACTGATACTTCCCACACCTGCAAACTGCCCCTGGGTTTAAAACCTCTCTAGCTACACTATCCAGGAAAGTACAAAATGTACACGTGCCAGTGTCCATCAATCAAGAGTTTGGACAAGTCAATCTTAAGTTTTCTACATATAACTTACTAGTAGTAAAAAGAGGATACCTTGAAAGTTCATCTTTGTTTTGGTACAAGTCATCCTGAACTGGTTTAAACTGTAACTTTCTCATTCCTTGACAAAGACAGGCCAACTTTTTGTGCTGGAAATTACAATTCCAATTCAACTTCAAACCTGTTTTGATTGTTAAGATAGTTGCTCTTTAAAATCCTCATCCTTTTGAGCACAACTTTTTCAGACGTTCCTTGTCACACGACAAGACACAGGAAGCCCACATTTAGGTACAAGGCTGTTGTTTCACTATTAATAAACTTTGTCTTCAACTTTAGATTTCTATATGTCTGCTTCACTTTTCTTCTGTGTGAAAACTGGACTGTTTACAATTACAGTACATAAGATGACCATGATCTGGTCCTATCTGTGGCCGTCACGCCATCTCTTAACCTTGACCCATTCTGGTTTAGATATACAAGTACATGTAGGGTTACCACAGCACATCCTATCAATCCTATCACTAGAAATAAGCTACCTTGTTCTTTGACACTTGAGACCAGGATTCCTGACAGGAATCCTATAATGAGGAAATGGAGAGGTCTTTGAAGGTGACGTTCAGTCAGTGTCACAGTACATCTACATAGACTCACCTGGACATTCTGTTTTGTTGGATACTGTAAGAATACTGGACACTGAACAAGACTACTTCCTGAGAGGGAGAGAGCTATTTACATCAGGGCCCTTTACCCTTTACTCAACTGAGACATCATTTACTAGATACCTTTGACCCAGAGTGGACCTGACACACTTCAGAGAAGCCATGTGACAAGTATCAGTGGGTCATCAGTCTATTGAAGAAGACCAGAGTGACTGGTCTAAAACTCTAGGTAAGAACAATCCCTTGTGTTGGAACAAAAGTTCAACATGTTTATAGAGTTGAAACTTTTGGTCCTACACAAAAAAGTTCTCTCACCTAGAACTTTCGACCAGTCATTCTGGTCTTCCTCAGTAGACTGACCCAGTGAAGCTTGTGAATTCGGGGGGATTCATTCCTCAGCTAACCGACATCTTGCACACGCAGTCGTCTCTAGACTGACCCAGTGAAGCTTGTCACATGGCTTCTTTGAAGTGTGACTCTAAACATGTAACTGCCAACACAGATGAACTTTCATGATAGTAAAACAAAAGTTGGTACCTGTAAGCGGGATCTCATATTCGACCTCCAAGATGACCTTCTCGCCTGCGTTCTTTAGTAGGTTGATGATCTCATCATGCCGAAGTTTCTCCGTCCTGATCCCGTTCACGGATATGATGAAGTCCCCCACCTCTAAGGCATCACTCCTGAGCACACACAAGAACATGGGATTAACACGTTATTTCTTCCGTGAATAGTTTCATCAGGTTGGTAAGAAACTGAGTAAAGAGACTCTTTTTACACAACCAAGTCTTTTATTCAAATTTCAATGTAAATATTGTACATTTGGGAATGCATTTGTAGCAGCGACATCTGTGCTGCAATGCAATATGAACCAGTCAGAATTGCCCTGAGGAAGGTGACAGATTGAAACGTTGGCTGAATAAAAGACTTGATTGTGTAAAAAGAGTCTCTTTACTCACGTTTATTTCTTGATACCAAGAGGTTTTCTAGCCTCTACCAGGCTTCCAGAAGCGGCTGGAATAAGTAAAAATCAGCAAAATGGACGAATATCCCAGGGGAGTTGGTCCATACTAAGAGAACAGTAAACTGTTTGCTCTCCGTGTAGACCAACTCCCGTGGCATACATGTATTGGTCTATTTGGCCAATTTCTACTCTTTCAAGCCACTTCCCAGAGCCTGGTAAAGGCTAGAGGTTTCCCACTTCTCAGCCTGGGTGCCGTCCTATTGGTACATAATTTGGGGCTTCCATACTAGCTACCTACAAAAGTTCTGGCCAGCGAATGTAAGAAGCCCCATAGCAAATCGGACGATTCCTCATTGAAGCCTTCTTTAATGCGGAATCATCTGATTCCTGAAAGAAGGCTTTTGCTAATCTTCAAGCAGACCTTTTGGTGGGGGTAAGACAGTATCAAATTGGCCAGTCTGTTTCCTTCTGTGGGAAATGGATACAGACTGGCCAATTTGATACTGTCTTACCCCCACCAAAAGATCTGCTCGGAGATTAGGCTTTAGCAAGCAGCATTAGTGTGTAAACCAACTAATAACAGCAGCAAAGCTGAACAATCTATGATTGGACATACATGTACATGTGAACATGACAACACCTACTGTACATGTACATCACGACACCGACACAACACGTTTTAGTAAGAAGGTTGTAACGTACCTAAGCCATGTCTGATACACGCTTGCACATGAGTTAGAGAGATAGTTAGAGAGGAAGAGCAAAATAATTCACACTCAAAGCTTAACAATACATTTCTACAAAATTGTTACAAATAGCGTAGCGTGCGTAGTCCAGTGGTCAGCGATCCTGCCTCTGGACTAAGAGGTTGGGAGTTCGAATCCCGGCTGTTGTCACCTACCCGACATGCACGCTACTGTTTAGGGTCGCAGTCCTTAGGACGAGACGTTAAGCCGTGGTCCACTGTTCATTGTGCTTGTCGAAAAGAGCCAGGGGAATTTTCCTGGTACAATGAACCTGTAAATACTGTGCATAGCATCTGTCTTCTCTGTCATGACCAGTGAAGATTAGCTCTTCAATGAGCTAAACTGGTTTGAGATCACTTTCACTTTACAAGTCACTGATTTCATCATCATCATCTTTGTCAGTTATCCCCTTATTTTCAGGATTATTACCAGTTCTTCAGCATTGTTAAGCTTTGACTGACAGTTCAATTTGCAGAGCACTAAAGGAGCAACAATCACAAGAAACTAAAACCTAAACAAGGTAGAACCTCAGCATAAAGGACAGGCAGAGAAATTATAGACATATTATAAAGAAACAAGACAGTAAGTACTTCTCCTTGTGAATAATGTTCATTTGGTATTTAGTTCCTACAGTCAGTGTAATCCTACGTAAAATCAGTTACACTACAGGAAGTTATTGGCAGATAAACATCATAATCATGGCACATGCCGGTAAGAATACCAATTACCAACATCCCAACAGTTAGGCAGGATGAGTTTAATCTCCAAACAGATCCCTTTCAGTGGCAAAAAGACAGTATCAAATTGGCCAGGCAGTATCCATTAGCCAGAGAAGGTTGCTGGCCACCGACGGGTGGGGGTAGCGACAAAAAAATGGCCATGTATAAAAAGCTAACGATCATTCCTCCACAACCTCTGCTTGGAGAGTAGGATGAGTTAGGGACAATGTTGCCAGTCTCCGGAGTCTAGCTACCTTAGGGACAGGCATTCAACCAGGCATATCTCATCAACTATTCCATATCAATAGCATGCTTGACTGGTAAAGCCCTGCAGCACAAATATGTCTGCTTCTCCAGTCAACCATTTTATACCAATATTGTATTCTAAGTAAAAAAATGAAATCAAATCGTGTTTAAGACCAAATTTGTTAAGCAAAACCAAGGCAATGTGATTGACATTTCTTTGTTAAGTATTACTGGGGAAATTAAGCATTTACCAAAGATTATACAGTGATCACATTGTAAGAGGGTCATCCCCATCATATTTAATACACATTTCAGGCCAAAGTGTTTAAGACCAAATTTGTAAAGCAAAACCAAGGCAATGTGATTGACGCTTCTTAAGTGTTACTGGAGAAATTAAGCATTTCTGAAAGATTAGTACATTTTAAAATGTCGCATTGTGAGAGGATCATCCCTATATGTTCATATCTAATACACATTTCAAAGACACTCTGCGTTTTGTTAGCCTCCATAGCAGGCTTATAGAACTGGGGATTTTGTGGTCTTCGGCTGTTTTCTGGGTAATTCAACCAGGCCAGCTACAGTATGTTGTCTATATGAAATCAGAAAATAGCACATAAAAGCTTCCAAAGACCCTGAATACCCCCAAAACCCCCAGTTTTTGGCATGCTATGGAGGTAAGCGCTTTGTAATACCACGAGCTTATAGCAGGATTCACATGTCTTAATCATAAGAGACCTTTACAGCATCCAGTTCCATAATCATGATAACATACTGCGACTGCTAACTAGCTCTCAGGCGATAATTGATGGATAACCCACAGACTGGATAACCTTTGGAAAAGTCAGGAAACCACCATATGGGAAATGTTAAACGGCCATAGTCCTCCATGGTACATTACCGAACATACCCTTCTGGCTAATTACCGGCGCCAGATGGGTATTACCACAGTAAATCAATCATAAGTAGATTGAATTCAATTACACTTATATTAGGTCGGGATTATATTTTCCGGATCTAGGTCACTCCAGCGGTTCCTTTTACTTTCCTGGCTAATAAATGGTTCGGCAGGACACACATAAAACATTTGCCAGTGACAACAGTTGTTCTAGATAGTCAGTATCCATGCAAAAAAGCAGATGTTTTCTGTTTTTATATTAATAAACTGAGGAACGGTTACAAATACAGTCATGAATTTGTGTAGAATGACTTAAAATTCCTAGCAGATATGCTTCTGGAAAGGGTTGCATAACATAATACAAAATTTGCCAGTGACAAGTTCTAGATAGTCAGTATCCATGCAAAAAAGCAGATGTTTTGGATTTTTTATATTAATCAAATGAGCAACGGTTTCAAATACAGTCATGAATTTGCGTGGAATGTTGGATGTGGAATGTGGAAATGTGGAAAATTGTGGCTGGACACACATACATTTGCCAGTGACATGTGCTAGATAGTCAGTATCCATGCAAAAAAAAAGCAGAAGTTTTGTGTTTTTATATTAATTGAATGAGCAACGGTTACAAATACAGTCATGAATTTGCGTGGAATGTTTTAAAATTGTGGCAGGACACACAAAACATTTGCTGGTAACAACATTCTAGATAGTCAATATCCATGCAAAAAAGCACAATCATGTTCTATGTATTTATGTTGTGCTATCCCTTATTGTTTGAATAATTAAGATATGTTAGGTTTTATTCAAAATTAGGTCTTATCCAACTGTTATTGTTTTTTACTCTCTTTATGTAGTTTGCCATACATTGTACCATGTGCAATCGTCGTGCAATAAAGTTCTATTCTATGTATTTATGTTAATCGAAATGAGCAACGGTTACAAATACAGTCATGAAGTTGCGTGGGATGTTTTAAAATTCCTTGCAGATATGCTTCTGGAAAGGGTAGCACAACATCACACTGGGACGTCGCATGCTTTGCTAATTTTCTACACTCCAGTTCCGCCGCCAAGTCACTTTTCTGCCTGGTGACTTCTGAGTCATCCAACTCGAAAAAGGCTGCGTATTAAACCCTCTGACCCGTAAAATTAATGTGTGATGAAGACTTGTACGCTGCTCCGTTTTTTTAAGTGCAAAGTGCGTCACAGCTAACGCTACAGAATCACTGGGATGCCTTGATGTAGATGATAACGGGCGTTTGTTAGTCAATCAAACTTTAGTTCATGGACTTACACCTGTGAGGACACATCTTCAAGGCTACAGCACTTGTACAATACAGCAATCAATTGCAAACTTGAGTTCACGGGCTACACACCTCAAGTGAGGACACATTTTCAAGGCTACAGCACACTGGTACAGATTCATTCCATTCTGCCCACTTGATTTTATGGGTTACATTTTCTGGAAAACAGTATTAGCCTGGGTGCCATCCAATTTGCTATGGGGCTCCTCCAAGAAAATCTTTTCAGGCCAGAGAACGTAGGGAGCCCCATAACAAATCGGATGGCACCAGGAAGGAATCTACATGGGGGCCCACATGGCCTTATCCCTAGAGTGTAATCGGCTGTTTTAGTTCTTAGTAGAGCGTAGACGGACCGCTCTAATTCAACGTAGAGCGTAACTGGCGCATTTTGCGTAGAGTGTAATTCGTCGTTTTAATTCCACGTCATGCATTGTAGCTACTTGGAATTTATCGTAAAACATATAATGGGGAGGCTTCTTGAATTCAGCGTAATATGTAGCAGGCTCTCAAAATTTAGTGTGGAGTGTTGTTGGGACCCCCCCATGCAGGCCCTCCTACTTGACTGCACATAAGAATCTGTCTTTTCTGTCACAACCAGTAGAACAGTATCTGAACAGTTCATGGAGTTCAACTGGTTCAAGAAAACTTATTTTACCCTTTATTGTACCTTTCTTGGCATTTTATTTTGTCCTTACCTCTGTGCTAGCCCTCCTGGCCTCAGATGCAGCACTCTCGCCCTGCTTCCCTTATCAAGACCACCTGGAGCAACAAGAGGTCACACTAATGAAGTCTTTGACTTTCAAGAGATGACAGTTACAGCGCAACTAAGATCAGAAATCTTTAAAGGTTAAAAATGCCACCTTCTTTAGATGTAAAAGATTTCAAGTGAGCAATCCTTTTGCAAAGATATGTACTGTGATACCAGAACATTGTCATTGGAAAACACCATTTTGCCAATGGCCTTGGTAGTATTACTGTGACCTAGAGGCTACAAAATGTAGACACACGCAAACACACACACAGAAATAACAGTTACTACTAGTTTACATGTAGATTATATACTCTAGGATAATACCAACTTAAGTTCAATATGCTGCTATTTATTTTAAGGATCTCCATTAGTGAGCATAACATATGCATATACTACTAGTATTCTTCCTGGATCGTAAAAACACATATCATTACAAAACTTACAATACAGACGTATATACAATTAATAACTGCGACACACAAAATACTAACATGTAAAAAGGAAAGCAATCTGAAGGCAATAGTGGTCATGACATTCTCTAAAATGTAAACATCAAAATCAAGCTGATATCAGCCAGCTGTAGTTTTCGATTAAGGTCAGCACCTTGGAATAGCTTTCAGGGGAAACAGTTATTGGTAGTATCATCCACATGAAATGGGAATCAAAAACCCAATCATAATCAGGAGGTCTTTGATACAGTCTCTGTCTGGGTTCCAAGTCCAGCCCTGTCTCCTGTTCCAGCCTAATCAGGAACAGATCTGCACAGTGCCTGCTTTCTGGCAATGACTGACCTTGTATTGCAGCATGCTAGCAGGATGTTTCATTCTTCATGAACAGAAACACAAGGTCAAGTAGATTATATTTATAGATATATATACAAACTGTGGACTGTACAATGTATAAAATGTATGGAGGTTTTGTTTTAGGTGTGACTACATTGTGTTTCAGTACTTCCACATGCTAGGCAGATCAGGGATACCGACAGGAAGTTAGGCCAAAGGTCTCAGAAAAAGGTTATCTCATTTCCTCATAAGGCCACACCAATCTAATTAGTTGGTTCTCGGATTTGCCTCTTCATTTTTTTCATTCTGGTTCTGAATCAAGCCAAAAATGCTCATATTTTTCCCCTAACAGTGTTTTGATTGAAAGTACAAGATTTATTGTTTAAATATTAACCCAGCCTTTGTATTGACTTTTTGTGTTGCTCGCATGTACAGTAACTGTTACAATAGTAAGAATGCCCTTATACCAGCTTTATACCCTCCCTCCCCCCCAAAAAAAATTAATCTAATTGAGGAAAAATGACCTCAAAAGCCATAAGGTCAGCGTAGTAATCAGGGGTCTGGAACCTTAATTCCATTTGAACATTTAGACTCCAGGCTACACGGCTTCATGACATAGTTAACCTCAACCAGTCTCAAATAACCTGGCTCCCAAGGATTATTTTCTGGAAATTAAGGGTTTTCAAATCGTCTTGGAAATAAACTTTTCTTTGTGGAATTCCAGAGATACGTGATCACGATTATTGTGTATAAACAACACAGAGACTGTGCAACTATACATGTACATGCAAACCATTGTACATGTACATGTTGTAGTTTGTTATGTTTAGTCATCCTTGTACATGTACATGTATGAGGTGTGAATGTGGGCTGCACCCAGTGCTCTTTTCCAGCCAAGTTTCCGCACTGCAGTTTCTGTAAGATCTGCCAGGGGGCAAATACTGACGATTTGCTGGCAGTACAAATCGCAACGAGTAGATTTTTGTTAAAATAAAAACGAAAACATATTCTTTAAAAATCCGAATTTGATCCATTAACAGTTTTAAAAACTTTTTTTTCATCATTGCATGATGGGCCTTGCAGTGTCCTTAGTAAAAAGGCAGATTAGAAGTCTACAGGAAATATTATTGCAGCAAAAGGGATGGCATGGGAATAAATATGCTACCTCGGTAGATGTTTACACCCTCTAACTTAAGAGTAAGTGCTTTTTTCTATTTCCCGTACTTCCTGTTGGCTTCTGAAGCTCCGCTCATGCCTTGACGCAGTGAACAAGCTTACTTCAGCCTTGAAGGGGCGCATCACATGACTCTGGCCGGCTTCCAACTTGATGGAAAAAAGAAAGCCCTGAAAGCAACCTACGAGCCAGATCTACAAAATCAGCAATAAAGTTGGGTGATACTGGGGAGTTGACGGGAGATAAAGTGATGAAAGGCACCGGGAGGGCCACTGTGCTCTTCATAATGATGTATGGTATCCAATATACCTTCGGCAAACATCCTCCAGCATACAGAAGGGCTAGAAATACATGTACAACTGGTGTAAGCAGTTAGTACAGGTAAAACAGGAGTAACAGTTGTTCAAGACTGTCTTGTATTTTCAAAATGTTGTTCTCTGATGTTGATCTATGGTATCCAATATACCTTCGGCAAAATCCTCCAGCATACCAAAGGGCTAGAAATACATGTACAACCTGTGTATGCAGTTATAGCACAGGTAAAATAGGAGTAACAGTTGTTTAAAACTTGTGTTTTCAAAATGTTGTTCTCTGATGTTGATCTATGGTATCCAATATACCTTTGGCAAACATCCTCCAGCATACTGAAGGGCTAGATCGAAATAAAACATTAGTGCAGGTAAAACAGGAGTAACTGTTATTTAAGAGTCTTGTTTTTTACAAAATGTTGTTTTCTGATAGACTGAAAGGCAAAGAAAATTTGAGTGGTACAGGTAATGTTGATAATTACATGACGTCCTGCAAAAAAAAAAGGATTGGATAAAGGCTAGAAGGCATGGATAAAGGCATGGATAAAGGCTAGAAACCCTGGTGGCACAGAAGGGAATATACAGAATGTACTATCATAATATAAAACAAAGATTCATATAGATAATCCAAATGGATGAATTCTCTAAAGATTCAGACATTTCAGGTGGCGTTCCATTCTCATTTCACTGATGACAGGTACTTAGATGCTATCTGAAACATCTGAATCTTCTGAGAATTCATCCATTTGCTTGATCTCTTTTGTATCCCCTTATTTCAAGCCCTACATGTGATGAAACAGACTGATGGTGGTGAACTAGCGCGGGAGGTTACTTATTGCTTTCAGAAACGGCAATCAGTTCTCTTATGACACGTCGTGGATTTCATAAGCTTTAGGAACTGAGTGCATCAAGGTTGTTGTTCAGCCCACCGAAGAGACAGGGCAGGGCTGTGGAGGTTTTATTGAGGATCAGGGGGTATGGGACGCTTCAAACTTCATGGGGCGTGTAATTTTGGACAGAAGCATTTTCCCTGGAAGAGATGTGGCATGACTGAGGGCCTGCATGCCCTTTTTCGTAAGACGTAATCAGGTCTTTTTAGACTCTGTAATCCATAGGCAGCCTCTGCAAAAATCAACGTAATTCATAATAGTACATTAGCCGCAAATTGTAAAGTCGTAATCAGCTCTGAGACGTTAACGTAATTCGTAATCGGCTGCAAAAATTTTGCGTAATTTGTAATCACTACCCCCCATGCAGGCCCTCATGACTGACTGTCCATCACATGTAAGATCTACTAACATAACTCTGCCAGGTCACGTACACATACAATGTATACCCACCACACTGAAAAATGTGTGTCAAGATATCTCCTATGCAATTCTCTTCGTATAACAATGCACTTCTGTATGCCTAAATTGTACCTTGGGGTAGAAATCTTTCGAACACTCTGCTTTCAATGTGGTAGATATATATACATAGCCCAACTTACCATGTATACCCACCACCCTGAAAAATGTGTCTCAAGATATCTACAATGCAATACCCCCAGAGTGTATAATGCACTTCTATATGGAATGATGCACTTCTGTATGCCTATATTGTGCATACATGTACCTAAGGGGTGCTGCAATGGAAATCTCTCAAACACGCTGTTTTTCTATGTGGTAGATATATATATAACCGAGCAGATAGATGTTAATGGATTTTGTAGTAACAGTAACGGAGACATCTTTATTCCATATTAAATATTCCTATTTGGATATACATGTACCATTACGTAGATTATCCTAAAGCTCCCAATTCATACCCTGTGACTTAACACTCCTGAAAGTCTGTCAATAAGCAGACAAATCTCATTGACATTTCAGAACGTCAAAGTCAGAATCATGATGGAGGGAGCACTTAGTTGTACATCACTAGGCAAAGGAGTCAAGACACAAGTGAAGAAAAAGCTTTACGGATATCCTATATGGGTATCCTAAATCCACCATGACTTCCACAGTCATGACTCTACTGAAAACTGGTGCTTTATGCATCTTGGTCAATCGACCGTGACTTCAACATGACTTCACTGAAATCTGGAGCTATGTATGTACACTTGGTTGATCAACCTTGACTGTACATGTATGCAGTGGATAGGAAAAATTGTGTGCATCATAGGGGATAACCCTTTTTATATCATACCCGGGCCGCAATAACATTCGATAACGGATTCTGGACCGGGCCGCACTTCCGTGGAACAATTCGAACACGTTTTGCCCTAACCGTGTGCGCCGCTTCGAAAATTCGAATACAGAATTCAGACGTTGGAATTGACATTGTTGCATTTTAGGGTTTAGTGGCATCAACTTTTGGCTCATCTTGCATTGAAAGGCGTGTTTTCTTGGGTGGGTATGACATAAATTGGTTTGTGGACCTTCAATTCAGCATGCTAAATATAGAATACAACACGGTGTATTCCGCATTGCCCTCGGTCCTGGCCCTCCCACAAGGCAGATCGCCTGACTCGCGGTTGGGCCGATACCTCGGGCAATACAGAATACACCGTGTTGTATACTATATATATATTTAGCATGCTGAATTGAAGGTCCACAAACCATTGGACTGCATTAAAGCACAGGAAGCGTCTGCCCATCTTTGCCTTGGGGCCAAGACCTGGCGGTGCTTATTGACTGGAATGTTCACTAAGCTGGACGTTTTACAATGTTAGCAGATAAGGATGAAGACAGTGATAATAGGAGGAAGGTCTGTGTTGGCTGAATGGTCTGCGAGACTACTGTCCACACGACTAGGGATAGACAAGTGAGATGGGGGTATGTCCAAGCAGATTCTGCAAGGCCTCATAATGCTTTTTAGCTCCCAGTTCTTGTTACAGAAAATCATTTATGGCTTTCCTACATGTAGTTAGAAAGGCCGTTTGCTCAGTCACTGACAGAAGCTAGAGGATGCTAACTGAAACGTCTGATCATGTCCAAAATCACATCCAGTCGCTTGAGTAACTGCTTTTTGGTGTATCTTATTACCTGGATGTCTAACCTTCATCGACATAGAAAGGCCGTTTGTAAAAATTGGGCAGCTAGTCAGTGTTACAATTTTGCCTTCCAACCTCTGCTTGGAGATTATGGTGAGGTCGTGGGGTCACAGACAAGTCCAGCATTGGAATTATACGGTTCACAGGAAAGAGTCCCAGTGGGATTGTGGTATGCCTCTTCTCCAGCCTTCTCTGCCAGTGCAGTCCTTACAATGCCCTTCATATAAATCTTACCACACTGCTTAATCTGTGATTTCTGAAGGGGGTGACCCGGTCTGTCCAACATGTACTTTGTTACATACATGTATCTTGAAAGTTCATCAAGTTTGAACTGTAATATCCAACAACAACAACAAAAATTCCTTTTACAAAGACTGGAGTTGTACAGTCGAAAATTTGGGTGAGTCCAATTTTTTGTGTTGGATATTACAGTTCAAACTTGTTTCATTATGTAGCTACAATATATGTATCACTGGTCTATGATCGACAAAATTCAAACAAAATACTTCTGACAACAGAGAGGCTATGCAACCCTCTCCCACCCTCCCATTGCATCTGCTGATATTCTCATAGATAGCATAGTATAGGTACACCTGAGTCATTCGTTTTCTCTATAATAACCATTTTTCTTCCCATATCTCTTGACAAACACAGTAGGTACATGCATGCTAGCAGGCTTATAGAACTGGGGGTTTGGTGGTCTTCGGCTGTTTTCTGACCAGCCCAGTTCTAAACGGGGGTAATTCAACCAGGCCAGCTATGTTGTCTATATGCAATAAGAAAATAGCACATAAAAGCTCCCAAAGACCCTGAAGACCCCCAAAACCCCCCAGTTGGCATGCTATGGAGGCTACATACATGTACAACAATTTGAAAGTAGCACAGCGACTTTACCTGAAATCGTGAGCCCCAGGCCGCTGCCATCTTTCTTGGTGAGCTCCACCACCGACACTCCCCTCCGCTCATCTGCGAAAACAACAGACTTCATGTGAGCAGGTACGGCCGACATCCCTGCCCTGGTTTTCAGCTGCGCGTGATACACTGGCCATTTCCCGTGGCCATCCGCATGGATGTGCTGCACTTTCAGATGGGATTGTGTAGATGAATAGGCAGATGGAGACTGTTGGGACGAACGAGACTTTACGCTGCCCATTGTGGCTATTACTGGTACCGTGGCAAATGCTCCGGCTTCACCTTAGCACCTTCTGCATTCAGGAAATGGATTTTTGCTGTGGAAAATGGGATTTACTGGCGACCCTCCCTCACAGGGGTGTCCAGTAAAACACCAGGCAGACCACAAAATGGAGAATTTGACCATGGAGAGTCTGACTCCTTGCTCCCATGTGTTACTGGTCAGGGGAATGGCCACGGTGGTCCACTAGGGACCTCTTGGCGGCAGGCCGCCACAGGTCAACCTAACACACTTCACACTTCACCTTCGGTTTCCTGTTCCAGAAGCTCTTAAGACTTCTTCTTTGAGTCTGAAGAAAAGATTGTGTCAGCATAGACTTTAGGAAGATACATGTATGACAGTGGAGGTGACATTGTGAATTTCAAATTGTATCCCATGCTTTAGCAATGACCATGACCTACAATTTGTACATAACCATAGCTACCAGACTGGCAAGAGGCAAGTATCTTCAGACATCATTATCAACATGAGGAACACATTAAATTACAAGATACCTTGGTACACGTAAATGTACTTTATATTTTTTTTATAACCAGGACCTGGTATCCATTATAGTCTGAATATGCAAACAAAACTTTTTGAAATACACTTTCAAGTCATTATCTAATTGAAACTGTTGGCAAAACAAACTTTACCTTCAGATATACATGTGTATGTAGGTAATGCCATATACAAAATGTATACAGTCAATAATTTGCCAGCAACAAAATATGCCTTTTGTTCAATGCCTGGAGCAGACCATAACTTCATGTAACTGTAATTAGCAGAGCTTCATTCTGAAGTTAATCATAAAAATGATTAGCATGTATACTACAGATTATTACTGCTCTGCTCTCATACATTGTAGCTGAAGGCTACGATTTTTAGAAAGTAACCTTTAATTCTAATTAAAGTCCAAGCTCCACTGACGAGATCTGCTGATCATCAGCGAGTCATCTGAGGTCAGCATCCATTCTAGAGGGCCTGCATGCCCCTTTTTCGTAAGGCGTAATCAGGCCTTTTTAGTCTTCGTAATCCGTAGGCAGCCTCCCCTAAAATCAACGTAATTCGTAATAGTACATTATCCACAAAGCGTAAAGTCGTAATCAGCTCTGAGACTTAAACGTAATTTGTAATCGCCGGAGAAAATGTTGCGTAATTCGTAATCACTCCCCCCCCCCCATGCAGGCCCTCATTCTATATTGTCCCTGGATGGATCAGATGAAACCTTGGCCTTCACGCATTGGTAGATGATGACATTGATTCACAGTTTACTTAATCAAAAGTTTAGCACGATGTCATTTGTCTTGCCATCATTTCCCACACCGATAATTGTCAGTGCTACATGATTGTACACTGTACACTGTAGCTGCCTCCTAACACATTTCCATTGGCACTCCTCATCCCCATGTCATCTGTAGTCCACCCTTTCTCATCTATTCAATAGCACCCTTATGGTTAGGCCTAGGAAAAAACTGTTGTGTTTCCTGTTTCCAGACCGACCTAGCCTCCACAGCAGGCTTATAGAACTGGGGGTTTGGTGGTCTTCGGCTGTTTTAAAAAATGGGGGTAATTCAACCAGGCCAGCTAAGTTGTCTATATGCAATTAGAAAATAGCACATAAAAGCTCCCATAGACAATGAAGACCCTGAAACCCCCCAGTTTTTGGCATGCTATAGAGGCTAGCTACGACCGACCCTAGAAAAAACTGCCAACCCTAGTCTTTTTTTTGTGAATCCAAGCAGGTACATATTTTCTTAGAGCTGATCAACCTTTTCTAGCTCCATCATCTGACACCTGACATGCCTGAGAGATGAAACATTGTACAATCGGTTTTCCAACATTGACATTGAAAGTATAAGTGTCCTCATGCAAGTTTTACTTTGTTTAACAACTATATTGTATAGCTA